ACGGGATGTCGTTCTACCCGGTACTAGATAGTTAAAATTTTTTGTTTATTGGCAATAGCCACCAACAAAACAAAAACCAGCCCTCGCGGTCACATTGTTTGTGGTAAGGGTTGGTAAGGCCGGTGGTAAATTGAGGATCTCGGACCATGGCGACCATTCCTTTTATTTAGTAGGATTGGTCGGCGGATAGACATGCCAGCTTCTGCACAGTTCTGTTCGTTTGACAGCTGGAGCATTAGCGTTCTGCTGGACAATGATAACGGTTCTGCTCTTATCTGGTCTAAGCCAGTAACGCTAAGATAATATCCGTTCCCTGAAACTTCAGCTTCCGTTCACTCTGCAGGCCTGATCGACGGTTAGTATGTTTCCTGTAACTCAGTAGGTCTGGTTAGTGGATAGTGTAACCTTTGTGCGGTTTCAGCTGTTCATTCGACACCTCAAGAACTTTGTTAGCATCGAACAGTGGGTATTGGGCAAGGGTTCCGTTGGGTTCCGTTGGGTTCCGTTCTCATATGCCGGTCTGGTCCGTGAGTTTTTCATTGTATAGGAAAACTCACGGTCAGTAAACTTTCGCTTGCAAACTATGGTTAGACACTGCCTGTTTTCACTACCACCGAGTTGGCCGAAGTGCGATTTCGCCTCTACGTAATATGTAAAGTAAACGTATGATATGTATCTATAAAAAACACCAGGATTTACTGGCTGGAAGTCCCCTGAAGCCCGCAGACTGCCTCCGCAGAGCAGGCCTACAGTATGCATTCTAAAGAACGTCCAGAAAGTGGCCAAGCTCAGTGGCTAAAATTAATAAAATTCAAGAAGGGAGCAGTATCAACTTGGCTCTACCACACCGTATAGTCACAGCGGCAAATGTAGCACTACTATAGTAGCAAAAATCAAGTTGTTTTTTCAACTTTGTAGTTCGCATCGCATCGTGTCACTGGCGGATTATAAAATGCTATCAAAATGTTTGTTAATGCTGTTTGTTATTCGGTCGCAAGAGTGTGTTCCGTGTTTGGTATTTATTTTTACTCTCAGTCTGCGAGTATACATACGATTAAGGGATTTGGCCCGGTACATACAGCTTAGGACAAAACGGTCGCATACCCAACATCTCCACATTCAGTACGAATGCAGCGCAGTGCACTGTACGACTGAGTTCAAAATATCCGTTGCGTACAAGTGCACTGCACCGCATGCGTACAGAATGCTGGGTATGGGGCCATGCGACCATTTGGTCCTACATTGTAGTACCAAATTCGGATACATGCACGGCAACTTTCGCTGTCGCGCACTCCTAAACACATTTTTGCATTGCTTTATAACATTTTGTAGCCAAAGGACTATATACGTAGGCGTGAAATCCGTTTGCGCGCGCAACATCCGGTTCGAGAGTTATTAGTGAAATAAAATTCCAAAAGTTTAAACGCGCGGAGGTGTACCAAAAGTCTCATTATGAACCGATGCTCTTAAAATTTTGCACGAAAATGCACATTACTATGACGATCGTTTTGGTACCGAACCAGCTTTCTACCATTTTTTTCAAATTTTAAAATGAATTTCAAAAATTTTAAAAATTAATTTAAAATTTGAAAAAAATGGTAGAAAGCTGGTTCGGTACCAAAACGATCTTCATAGTAATGTGCGTTTTCGTGCAAAATTTGAAGAGCATCGGTTCATAACGAGACTTTTGGTACACCTCCGCGCGTTTAAACTTTTGGAATTTTATTTCACTAATAACTCTCGAACCGGACGTTGCGCGCACAAACGCTTTTTTCGCCTATGTATACGAATTCTTTGGCTACAAAATATCATAAAGCAATGCAAAAAAGTGTTCGGGAGAGCGCGACAGCGAAAGTTGCCGTGGATGTATACAAATTTGGTGCTATGTACCGGGCCAAATCCCTTAAGCATTCCACCTCTCGCTGCTAATGCCAGAACGCTAATGCCATTATTTTTGTTATGGTGTTATATCCTTCATAGTCTCACACATTTAAACGTTTTCCCTGTGTTCTCACGTTAGAAAGTATCTGTATATGTTATCTGAAACTCATACTGTGCTTCAGCTACCAGTATGAATGCTTTCAACACAATGGTATTCCTAACAATAATAATTATAAGCAGCGGGTTGTTGTTAATTATAGGCTATAGCGTATCGGTTAGTGTTATGCAGCGTGCGACTAAAATTATTATTACCACCCTAAAATTTCCTAGCTAACTCACAATTATAATGTATGCGAATATTGTGCGAAGGTTGTTTATGGGGCTACCCAGTTAATGCGAAAATGCTTGTATACCTGAGGCCGTTTTTTTTAAATATTAAACAGCGAAGTTTACGTGCACATATGCCGAACACTATAGTGTTAGTATACCGTTTAAGCCTTTATAAAGGCAAGGTGGTAATTACCACCTTGCTGGGTCTGATTCTTGTCTGTAGTGTGTGCTCTATGGTCAAAACAAAAAAGCGGTTTCACTCATTAAACTGTCATTTTCTCTGCTGATCTCGTAATGTTTAAAAGCGAGTATAGCCCTATAAGAGCCTCTTTTCCGGTCCGAAATTGTTTCTCATCCATAGTACTGATGATAATCTGCGGAGTGTTACTGGGTAGGTCTAATTAGCATTACATTGCTTCATTATGAATATTTCAGTTATGTAAATTACTGTAAAAGTATGAGCACCAGTACATTTTCCATTAATTACCTATTTGCAAACATGCAGTATTGGTTTCGGTATAAACGATTGTTATCAAACAGAAGAAACGAGCGGCCTAATCACAGGGAACATTTTTTGATCAAAATTAACCGAAACAGGTAAAAGTAGTATGCAGTGCAAAGATAGTAAAATCATACCACTAGCGCAGTTTTGGGCATAATCCGTGCCCATCTCTAGTATTTTAGTGTACGACGTCATACAGCATAAACTGTTTATTCCTTTCAGTTTTAGTCAAAAGCAGAGTGGCAAGGGTACAATTTAAATTTAGGATTACTATGTCTGCGTGCGTGAAGCTTTGCATACTGTAATGCACTACAGTATTGCGCTGAAGTGTGGCTACCCAAAATAGGTGCTTTTCTCTGTTCCTAGACCTCCTGCGACTGTTGTTTGCTGATTGGGTATACTGCATTGTGATGTTAATTGTTTTTCTATAAGGAAAAGAAACACGAAAAAGGCTGCTAAAATATATCCAAAATCAATGAAATTGTTAACGGTTTTTTTCAAACAGTCCTGCCAGTTTTGTTTCGATTTTAACAGAAGCTTTAATTACTTAATGGCTGGCATTAACTTACGGTAACGATGCTCACAAGCTAAGCCACCAATGTGTCGGATTCAGTGTGGAAACAAGCTTCCTTGCCAGACCGGATGGGAGGAATAGGGCTTCCAAAATCAGAGGAAATTTCTTTGCCTGCATACTTATCCTCGCGTTATGCTACAAAGACTCTCGTTGCCGAAATAGTGCCAGAGGAAGGCAAAGACGACATCGGGTCGTGCGTGGAGGAGTTTCGTGAGAGGAGCAGTGAGGAGCCGCCACCAGCAGAGTATCAGTCGGCGTGGACGGCAATTGTGTACGCTAGGGAGCATCGGTTTTTATTGGAAAGTGCTGACGTTATCGAAAAAGCGCGCTTGTTGGCAGTCTCCACAAAGAATCAGCTTCCTGGTTGTCCGCTTTGCCTGTAGCCAGCCTTGGGAATTTGCTGGACGAAGCGGCAGTGAGAATCGCAGTTGCGCTGCGTTTGGGTGCTGTCATCTGCAGCGAACATAAGTGCATTTGTGGAAGTATGGTTGATAAATTCGGTCGTCACGGACTGTCCTGTAAACGAAGTAAAGGAGGATTCCTCGACACGAACATTTGAATGATATCACACAAAGAGCAATCGGATCCGCGAAGATTTCATCTATCCGTGAGCCTACGGGTCTGGATCGAAAGAACGGTAAACGGCCGGATGGATTAACTCATTATCCGTGGAAAACGGCAAAGCGCTGGTGTGGGACGTAACTGTCGCCGATACGTTTGCACAGACTTATATTGGTCAGACATCCGATCATGCTGGTGCTGCAGCAGAAGCGGCCGAATATCGGAAGTGCGGCAAGTATGCTGACTTGGCTGACCGATACAATTTTCAACCCGTCGCGTTAGAGACAATGGGAAGCTGTGGTCCTCTCACCATGGATTTTATTAATGATCTAGCTAGACGCATCAGAGAGCAGACTGGTGAAATTCGCGCAAAGTGTTTTCTGTTACAACGTTTTAGTATTGAAATTCAGCGCGGTAATGCTGCTTGTGTCTTGGGAACTGTTGAAAAGCAGCATGAGCTGGATGGTTTATTTTTAGTTTGTGCATAGTTTCCTACACAAGATTGGTTATGATAATAATAATTATTATAAGTAGTACGACTTATTATTTTTATTATAAATATTATTTATATTATCTATGTACAGTGAGCCACCAAAGGGAAAGACATATCTACAAGCCTAAGATGCTAACGTTGACAGTGACATTTGTCGATCTGCTGCACTTACTTAACCGAATGAAACACGATGCTCCACCGCAAGACATGTTCCAGCGGTGTAACACGTAAATCTGGAAGTGCGTTTTATATGCGCCTTGTTATCCTTTGGTTGTTGTATTTGTAGTACTTTGCGCAAACGGCAGAATAGAATGTAGCCTTTTGAAATTTTTTATGCCGTAGCTTACTTACAAATTTTGTGCGTGCCCAGTACTGCTAACACTTTATAGGGAATATTGAATGTGTGCTGGCAAGGGTTTCAAGTACATACAGTTCACCAAATTTTCGGAAGCCGATTGTACGCGGTGCCACATTTTATGCGGCATCTGCCAGGTTTTATCGGGTGCCAGTTGCCAGAATCTCCAGGTTTTATCGCGTGCCATGCCATTGGCAGTGCCACTGGCAGGTGCCACTGCCACATTTTATCCCCTGCTGTGAGATACGTAATATAGCAGGAAGTAGCGTTGTGTATTGCTGCAGTGGCGTTTTATTACGGACTGAATCTGTAACATGCTGAACTACATAATAATGCTGGTCTGGCCTGGGAGAATACGTTCTCTGCTGTTGACGTCAGCAACCAGTCGTGCGACTGTGCTGGCTGCGGTAACGACTATCACGCTAATTAATTCAAGCAAAGCATGACATTCGCCAGGGCGGTGACGATATACCAAACGATGCTCGAAAGGATGCGACATTTTAGCAGTAATTTTCTGCAGATCGGCCAAAGCGCTACCATGATACCACGCATGACTGATGGTACACCGTAGTCGCGTATCCAGGTATGAAAGGAGTGGCAACAGAGTAACTTCAACAAGGTAATCGCGGGCCCGGATGTTCCTCAAGTCTTTGACTTTTTAACCAGTGAATTTAACGTGGAAGCGGTGGAACGCTAAAAAGATAAGTTTCATATAGATTTACTAAAAATTTTGCCTGGCCTCACTCCGAAAGATGCTTTTCTATTGCTTTATGCCATTCTACAGCCGAATAGTTTTTATACATTTTGGTGGTCTAATCGTGTATACACGCACCATCCGGTAGTCGCAATATGCACGAATTAAAATGAACAGAAAGATTAAACGCTTTGTCATGCACCCACCAGAAGTTAGGTTCTTACCCCATATGCTTGAAACCTTGCTGTAAAAGGCACATGACGTTATGGACGAATCTACACCACAAGTCAATAATTAGTTTCATGACATTTTTTTTGCATTTGGCCAAAATATCCGAACAACCGCAGATTTTGACATTCTTTCCAGCTCTCCGGCATCGAGAACATCAACCAACAGTCTATTTGGCAAGTCCATCACGCAGCCTTTTTAAAAAAAGGGGTGCGTGATGGACTCCGACACGTTACTGATTATTACGGCAGTGCATAATTAACGCTACATCCGTTGAATCGCAGCCACAATCGGCGCTGGCGTAAGGTCATCCAGTTGAGCATTATTTAAGCGCTGTCCCAAACGGGAATGCCAAGGCTGAGGCTGCGTGTACGTCAGCTACACGGCAGTAATTACGTTAAATTAAAAGGTGTGACCCGATGGTGTATCCCATATTTTTAGATGTACCAACATGATTGTGCCGCAGTCGCCCAGCAGACTACCACAGCAATCAGTAATCTGTAATGAAAGACTGCGTGGAAAACTGGAATGCAGTAAACAGCTGGATCATGTTCCCATTACCTTTAATTTACCGAGAGTGAGCGGGAAGATCGATATTACACCGTTTGTAGTCTTATGGTGTGTATCACAGCCATCACAGCAAGAAGACGATCAAGTAGTCTCCTTAAGATTTTGACTAACAGTGGCTCAACTTATTTAAAAAATGACCTGAAATGATGGCAGCGATCAGTGTTTCTGCGCTGACAACAATGGATGGTCGTAGGCCGTGTTTAGCGGTTGTTTTCATCTGTGGTATGATGTTCACGAGCGTGCCCGGCCTGTTGAACGTCAGCTTGGTGGCCGTTTGTTACAGGGCGCCCTTCGGGTTTGGCTCGGTGGTGTATCTGGGGCCTGCTTTATCCGTGGCCACGGAATATGTTTCCCGCAAGTACAACACAACCATGCGCTTCAATCTGACCATTTTTCCCGATCCGGGATGGACATGCGCGGATTTGAGTGATAATGCCGTCAGGCTGGTCTCGGAATTACATTATCGGCAGCGCAAGCCGAGCGATCTAACCGTCTACATCATACCCGGTACGTTGTCGGGCTCACCTCAGTTTTGCAAACACTGGATCAACTTTGTGTTGGTTCGACGTAGTGACGAGTCGGCAAAATGGCGAGTCACCATTTGCCGTATTTCTTGGGTTTTCTCATGGTAAGATTTCATTGAAAAATCGCTTTTTATTTTGTAGCCTGCGTCGAAACGACGGAAATGCCGTATTTTCAATCCCAGTGGAACAACTTGTGGATTTCCACGTGAGAACACCATTTACTCGTTAGAAAACGATCATATGTCGTATTAGTGACTAACATAAATGCGAAAACCAAGATTTGCGGAATAGCGCGGCTCTTTACCTACCAAGCAGTAAAACAGACACTTCTGTACTACGATACCTGCGGTTGTATTATAATTTTTTAGTATCATTACAGATAAATAATTTACTAAATTAACTAAATTTCTATAGAAAATAACTTATTTGTCAAATTAGAACGATTCTTGTGCAGTAACTCATCTTAGGATGTCGGTCAGTCCACAAATCCGCAATCGCCAACTGTATCCCACCTGGATCGCCACCAACTACTTTTCCATATCACAGTGCTCGCAGTTATACGTGGCGCTCCTCAACAAATACGCATGGACGTCGGTATACATCGTGATCGATACCGCATCGACGCCGTTCTACTATACCTTAGCGGCGGCATTGATCGGTGATCTGAAGAAGGAGCGCAGTATGTCCATCACGGTGCGCAATATCGCCACGACTCCGGGGATTCCCTATGGACAATTTGGGTCCATTCTGGAAGAAATACGGCATGTCAGCCGAGGTTGGCCAAAGTTGGAAAAAAGCGTCGAACGAACAAATATATTTAGGAGAATCAACATTTTCAAAACGTTAACTTATGATACGGTGAAGTATTTGCCTTGTTTCTTCTTACAGTTGTGTTGTACTTTGGGCATGCGGCGTTTTTACGCGAGTTTATGGTACGTAAGAGATACTAAATTTTCTGCACCATGCTAACTCATTTTGTCAACGCGTGAAATTTATTCCCAGATCGCTGCGTCTGTCGACAACATGACTAACGGAGAATATGTAAGAATGTAAACCAGTTGGCAGGTTAGGATGAAAAATCAATTCATACGCTATTTTGGTATCTGATGACCTTTGGAATATGCAAACACCATGTTACCATGTTATTTTTGCAGGTGTATGTGGCTGTGGAAGCCATGAACAACAAAATGCAAGGACTGCTTCATTGGCAATACAATGATCGCAGTGACGAGGTAGGCGTTTACTGACCTCTGTTTTTGCCTGTTGTTTGACCCAGCACAGCACCCGTGACACCTGCCGCCCACATTTCTTTGCAGATCGCCCTGCAAGCCTTCCAGTCGCTGTTGGTTATTTATCCACCAAATATCTACGACGCACCCGACCCTTCGCTTGGAGGGGAATTCGTTAAAAGATCACAGCGAGATTATAATTTTACATATGCGCTGAAGGATCAGGTGGGGCGGTTCAGGATAACGCGCGCTAGACACGATTAGAGTATCGTTGCACTACGACGCTTCTTCCTGCTTTTTTTAGAATTACAATTCGTTGGTGGAAGCCTACCTTGCCATCACCAGCCTTTCGCAGGTAAACATCTACAGGTTGATTAGTTTCCTGTGGCACTTGCAACAAAAGTCTGTTAAATATCGATAATGGACCGGCGTGGATCCAGTCTTTATTAATAAGAATAAGAATTTCCAGTCTTCTATGAATAAGAATTTCTTTGGCTTGTAAATTGAACTGACGCGAATATTTGATTGGCGTTAGTACTTGGAGCTTCTTTCAGGCACTAAACGATTCGTTATCGGCTGGAGAAAATCCATCCAGTTTAACTGGGTCAACGCTACTTAAACACATCCTGAACCGAATTTTCACGGATGACAACGGAGGCGGCACCATATACATTGATGCCAACGGACAGCGGCGTAGTGAATTTATCATAGCGTATTTCACGCCATCCGGCAACCGTAAAGCACGTAATTCAGTAGATTTTCGTTTATCGTTGGAAATACGAGCAACATAACATAACATAGCCTTTTTATTGAAAGTTCGTTCTTTAGCTCGTGCCACTATCTGTTTTCCTTAGACCTTGCTGCAAAAGTTCGGGAGGATGGACACGATGCAGGTGGTCACCGAGTTGACAGTCTGGGCCAATGCGACCTTCCCGCCACCCAACGAACCTTACTGTGGCTATATGAATCAGAAAGAAGTGTGCCAACCACAGCGTAAGATCCGTCAAAAGCCCATGCATTTTATTTGATTACAATTCATTTTTTTTTACGGGAACAGGGAGTCAATGGATACAGAATACCATTGTGGGCGTTGCAGCAGCACTGCTCACTTGTGGTATCGTGCTGGTCGTCTGTATAAGGTACTCTAGTTCACCAGAAACTTGGAAATTGTGAAACAAAAGTACCGAAGCGAATGATATCAGCAAAAAGGGAACAATATTGTGAATTTGCTACGCATGTTTGGTGTAACGTAGGAATGAGAGGAGGAAATCCGTGGAGCGCATGATATTGTATGAACCCTGGTGGCAGCTGGCGATCGCTGTTGTTCCCGTGGCATCTCGGTGTCAGCCGTCGGTGTCAACGTTTTTCGCCTCTACCAGGGAGAAAATCGTACTCGACGGCTCAAGAATGGCACCTCTTAAAGTGGTGCACAGCGCAACGCCCTCGGTTGTGGTAAAGGGACATAAACTGCAGTGTTGATAGATCCGAAGACGTTGTACGGTTGCAGAGTCCCCACCACACACGTACCATGTACAGAGGGCAAATCGTTCGATCAGTAGAGATTTGCCAGCGGGAATACAGCGTAACCTTTGAGGAAATGTCCACGCATGAAAGTCTACTGGTTCTTCTACGAAAGGTAGCGTGTACTGGTCGCCACTTTAGAAATGCCTAAAAGCAATACAACAAAGACTCATGCGCGTTTCATTAGTTCTACAGATTAGAATCCGACAATCTCTGCCGGTTCCTGGGATTAGCCATAACCAAGAGCAAACTGGATGTCTACATGATCTGCGCGGTGACAGAATGTCCATCACGAGGCACACTACGCGATATACACGACAGTCTGGTCACAACAGATTTTGGCTTCACTAGCTCACTCATTGTCGATTTTCTCGAGGTAGATCATTTCCATTACACTGTTCTACTGGTTGCTGTGAATGCACCTTCTCTGTACAGGCGCTGTGCTTCCTTCACCAGTCTCCGTTACGCTATCACGGCCGCCTCACGCCATTAGCTTGCTGGATTGATAAACACTTTACATTAAAAGTGACCGATTACGCTTTCGATCGGCTAAGCGTCGAGCTATGCACCAAGTGTGAGAATGTCGAACCGATTAGTGAAAGCGAATTAACCGAGCCGCTGTACTGGCTGACCCCGGAGAAACCGAATCCCAGTGATCCTAATGCAATGCGGGCAGTGGATGCGTATTCTTCCGGGCTTATCATTTACGAGATCCTCAGCAACGGAGGGTTGTTTCACAAGTTTCAGACCACAGGTGAGCTTTATCGATCACCGTCTTGGCCTTAACCTGCTTATCGAAGGCAATGTCTTTCAGATGATTTGATCGCGTTAACTTCGAGTACAGGACAAATTAAAAATGGAACTGTGAATTTCAAGGATTTTGCCGCTTTCGAAAGTGTACTGCGCTCATGTTGGGTTGCTGATCCGCAGCAGCGTCCCAGTATGTCGCGTCTGCGGTCACGTATCGCCGATATCTCGCCACTACTCAGGGCGGAGCTCAGTCAGAACCAACTGATCGATAAGATCTACAAACGCCTCTCGGATTACTCCAAAGATCTAGAAGTTCTGGTGAAAGTGCGAACGATCAATTTGCAGGAAGAAATTGGCAAATGCGATGCCATCACTGGCCAGTTTTTACCGCGGTCAGTTAAAAAGACATTGAAACTTGAAACGATTGCAGAAGTTCATTGTGCAATTACCGTAATATAGGTGTTTTGTTTATCAATCTGTTTTTCAAATTTCAATCATGCTCATTGTTGTAATAAATTGCAGGTCGATCATTAAGCAGTTACGGGTAGGTTGCGACATAATGCCGGAGCTCTTCGAATCGGTGACGATTATGTTCACTGACCTGTCGGGTTTTGTGGACTTTGTGGAGGCGAATAGTCCGGAGAGTACGATCAGTCTGATCGGGGAAACAGAAGGCTGCTTTGACCAGTTATCGACTCGATACGATGTGTACAAAGTGGAAGCTGTGGGAGACTCGTATCTGGTTTGTTGTGCAGTTACTATTAATGTACAAACCTGGATTATAACAAGCTGAATTAAAAAAAACTCTGAATCATCTTAGGTTGCTAGTGGTTTACCAGAAAGAGTTGGTGATCGTCACATCCAACGAATCGCCTTCTTTGCGCTTAAGCTAACGGAAGCCGAGCCACAGTTGATTTTTCTTAAACCATTGCGTTTTAAGATTGGATTGCATTCTGGTTAGAACACGTTCAAATCAACGTATATCCACTGCCTAACAGATTGGTCACTTCTCTGTAGGTCCCTGTGCGGCGGGTGTTTTAGGTTGGCGACGACTTCGTTATTGTTTGTAAGTAGTGTAACTGGGACCATGCAGTTACGGTTTCCGGCAGAGTGTATGTGGCCTGTGAGTTTATAGGTTTGGTGACACGGTAAATTTGGCCTCCCGGATGTGCAGTCACGGTCTCCCGGGACGCATACACATTAGCCACGATTCCAAAACATTATTAGAAGGATTTCCCGAGTACAGAGTTGACTGTCGGGGAACACAGGCCATTAAGGGGACATTCGAGATGACAACATATTGGCTAACGGGATATACAGGGTCGCCGTGACCACGTATTACTTAAATACCCACGGACTTTCAGACCGAGGAAATTTCTATAACTGAAAAGGGGAAAACTTTTTTTCTGTCAACAAGATGCATTTTTATTCTGCTTTTGCAACTGTTCTGTGCAAAGAATCAGAGTGCGAACTCTCAACTCTGCACCTTTGACATCACTACATACTTTTCTACCAAAAGGCAAATGGAGGCTCATAAAGTCATACGGTGACGACTGAGTCCTAAGTTATTGCGAATTTTATAAGATCAGTATTTAATGAAGTAAACGGAATTTTGCTGCGCTCCGGTTTACAGGAACGATTATTGCCAGCCAACGATGCAAATAATCGGCTGTTTTGTTTGCATAAAAACGATGGAATGGACAGAATATGCACTTACGTAAAACCTGAGCTAGTCATTACCACACTCGAAACCGGTTACCTGCAAAGCTCTTCGGATCTCCGATAGCACACCGAAACCGTCTGTGTATCCTGACAACATCCAGAATACTCAGATCTCGATTCTGTCCAATCTTCGCCTTTCTCTGTGTGGGGAGAATAGTGGGGATACTGCTGTCTTTCGCGAAGGCGTTGTGCTTACAGTGCATGACTGATTCGTAGTCATACGGCAATCCGTAAGTGTTTCCGTCCTCGTGTATAACAAACTGATCCCGGTCGCCTGAACAAGAGAGAGACAATCCGTCATAAAACTCACAATTTTAATCAACCTTACTTTTGGCAATATTATCCCAGATGATCTTTACATGTTCGTCTCTGTCTGCTCGGGAATGTTCGTGAAAGAAGCCCATGACGTGCATCAGTTCGTGCTGGACATTGCCGTGCTGCTTCAGACAGGCGGGTGAGTACACTACCGTTTGTCTTCCACCAACGCGACCGATAATCGACATGCATCTAATACGCGCCAGCGATTACAGAATTTTGCTAGCAGATTACGAATAGTAATATCGTGGAGGAAATTATTAACTGACTGCAGTCCTTTTTGGAAGCTGATGTAATCTTCTTCACTGGTGCGTTCCACGAACTGGACACAGTTACCGGAAAGGTGACTGATTATGCGCATAGACTCCAGAATAATCTGCATTTCTTTTGGTGCTGGAAACGATTTAGTTAATGACCGCTTGACAACAGCAACGATGCAAGGCAGTTTATGCAGCTTTCCTATTTGAAACAACACTGAAACTTCCTAGCGGTTCCTCACTCATTAAAGCATTTTGTTTTTTGGAGAATTCGTAAGGGATTGTGTTGTTAGGCCAGAACGAGCCGCTTCGTTGACGGCGTTGGCTGCTTCGTGTTCCAGCTATAAAAGGTCATACAGCTTGGGCGCGTTAGAATTACGGAACACGCTTTGCAATATTTCATAATTTTCATTCTTGTTAATAATTCTCTGGCATCAGTAACGCTTGCAGAAAAAAATACATGTTTATTTCTTTCAAGAAAACGGTAAATTACATAAAGTGCGTTGCGGATAATAATTTCGCTTACTTGCAGCGTCTGCAGACCGAGAATATCGCCTTCCGGTAGATCGCTGTCATAGTAAATTCATAAATTATCATAGTAAATTCGTCATAGTAAATTCGTCATCATAGTAAATTCGTCATAGTAAATTCGTCATCATTTTTCGCCAAAATATCCGGATCGATGAAGTCTCTCCAATGTGCAGAACCGAAACATTTCACTGGCAACCCAACGATGAAATTCATTAAGTCTATAATCAAACCGCCACTGTGTTGCACTGTAAATTCTACGCATTAGTTTGCATACTTTCTGGCAGATTTCGGATTACTTTCGTCGAGACTTCGACACTGATTGCAGCATACATACACAACGGGATCCGGACATGGCGATGCTTGTTTTATCGACTGCCAGCGTGGCATTATATCAGTTGTTTTACCACATTCAATAAACTGGAATCGAGCAACTTTGCACTCCCTTCTCAAGCAGGTATTCTACAATTTTCCCTCCGGCGAAAGGTTTTTGCAGCGTTAAAAAACCGGCTCGGAAAACAGCAGAATATTTATTGCAGCTAATTTAGCGTGAAATTGTTACCTGAATCAGCCAACTAAACGCGACAATGATCGAACACTTTATTCACGTTAAATTTTTAGATTGCTTTATTTATAAAATGCTGTCTTACAAATGTGGTACAATATTTTAAAACATCTCGTTCTTTTTTACGAAAACTTTGTGTTATAAATTTTGATTTATCTAACAAATTTAATGTATGCAGAATCCACGTGTGTTGTGGCAGTTTGGAGGGTGCCCTCAAAAATGTTTTATCGATGCCGTTCTTTCTGTGCTATGAAGCAATTCCATAGATAATGCGCGGAATATTAGTACGCAAAAATCACAACTAAGGCTTTGTCCCGAATTCGAAGCAAATCTCGCTATGGTACAGTTGCGCAACCGCACGAGGTGGCTGTATGCAGTGGCCACGCCTACAGATACGGTACGCGAAACCACCTCGCGAGGTGGAGTTGCTGTATCGCAACGAGATTCGCTTCAAATTCGGGACGAGGCCTAAGCCTTGCACCCAGGGGTCGGGGCTAAAATTTTGCTGTCCATGAAAACACTTTTCGACTTTGATCGATTTCCTCTTTTTCTTTGCCCCCATGTTTATTTTGCGCTGTTTTGAAACTTTGAATATGAGAAGTAAATAATGCATTACACTGTAGATGTATGTAGTTACGAAGTCCAAATTTTACACGATGGATCACCAGTTGCATCAGTAGGCGCGAAGTACAATACAATATTACCTTCCCAACCGCAAATAAAAATATATGTACTATGACTGATGATTGGCTCTGAAAAGTTTATTGGTTTAGTTAACAGCCGGAGTTATAGGTTCTCCATAAAGGTACCTTTTGTACCTAAGGCGGGTGTACCGTTTATTCAGTACGCAGCCTAAAAGGATTTATCGTAGCAAGTTTATAATTACAGTATGTAGTTCAAGCGTGCACGCTGAAAATTCACCTGGTATCGCTACTATTTTTGCCTGAACAGTTATGGATACGATTCAGGCAGTATTTTTATTTATTTCCGCTGGTATTACAGCGCGTCCTTACTGGTATTACAGTGCTGTGGTATTGCAATGATACAATTTTACCCGTAAGTGTCATGTACTTGTACGAGCTGCATGTTTTGGACGTCAGTTATCAAGATTCAGATCTATATTGCCACGAATGGGATACACCAGAGCCGGCAAACCAGAAAAGACTGACCAAAACCAATATTATATTCTGAAAGCCCGTAATCGAAAACCCGGCCAGATTTTATTCATTTCTTTTAAAACCTCTCCCGCTTCGAGCGCCACAGCGGAAGAGTTTTGACTACCTTCACCAAATGTAACTAAATTATTATAATAATAATTATCATCGTAGTATTTTTGACCAGGCAATGTTGCCACGTAAACCAAATAAAATATAGTTAAAAAATGAAAGTATTTTCCACTAATTAAAATATCAGAATCAATTTAATTAGCAGACCGTTGGCGTTATTGCGACAAGAACGGCTGCAGATCCAACGTTGTCATCGAGGACAATTTCTAAACAAGTGCCGGCCAAGCAGCGATAGACAGAACTACCGCCACTGTTCAGTGCACAAGCCCGTTAGTTGACCGAAATACCACTACATTCTAGTTAAGATAGCCCGCTAAGCCAGTGAGTGGCCGAACTGCCACTATGGATAGCTAGTGAGCGGTTGACCGAGCTGTCATTACTGTCCGATGCCGAGTGGCCGAGTGAGCGAGTGACCGAGCTGTCACTACTTTTCAGTGTAAAAAGCCCGTTAGGGAACGAGTGACTGAGTTACCACTACTGTCCGGTGCACAGAGCCCGGTAGGAGAGCGGGTAACCGCGCTGTCACTAATGTCCGGCGCAGAAAGTCCGTTAGCGCAGCGGGTGACCGGGCTACCAATGCTGTCCGGCGTAAAAACCCCCTTCGGTGAAGGAGTGCTGAGCTGCCAGTACTGTCCGTGCACAGATCCCGGAAGTTGAGCGGGTGACCGAGCTGTCACTACTGTCCAATGTACAAAGCCCGTTAGGTGAGCGACTGACCGAGCTACTACTGCTGTCCGGCGCAGAAAGCCCGGGAGGTGAGCGGGTGACCGAGCTTTCAGTGGCGGCTGTCACTACTGTCCAGTGTACTAAGTCCGTTAGGTGAGCGGGTGACCGAGCTACCACTGCTGTCCGGCGCAGAAAGCCCGGGTGGTGAGCGGGTGACCGAGCTGTCATTATTGTACAGTGAACATGAGTGACCGAGCTACCACTACTGTCCGGCGAACGGAACCGGTTAGCTAATCAAGTAATCGAGCCACCACTACTGACCGGACATACGCCACTGGGCACACACCAACTTCCAGGGAATAGAGCCAGTGAAGTGATGAGTTACAGAACTAGTGATCCAGTGCACTATCACTGTTTCGAATTTCACACCTTATAGACTGATTTTCATAGAAAATTCGTGTTCACCCTGTTGCATGTACCGATCATGTTTCGACGAATAGACTGATGGTAATCTAATAAATATTCATTCAAATTCAAATAAAATGGCCATGGACCACAAGAAACGCGGAGGCGAAGCCGAGGCTGTTTCTTGTAATATAATATAATTACAGGGGGGAAAACAAGTCTACTCGACACGTTTCCCTGTACTGCTGCCGTCACCCGCCTGGAGTGTGACGTTACGGCAATACATACGGTTAAATAAGGCGCGGTACATATGCACCATGTATAGCCGCAGCGTAAAGCACCATCCGGCTGACATCAGAAGTACCAAAGACTGTGTGAGCGGAGAAGCGGCTCACGTACAGCGATAAAGTCTTTCAAAGGATTTCAACGTATTGCGCCGTGGTGCAGTGGTACTGCCTACGCGGATCTAACGACGTAGCCGGGGTTCGATTCCCCCATCGGCGCCTTTTTCAGCCGTTTCTCGGTTTCCCTCGGATTGCGCCCTGCTTAGAACTGGTTCGGCTAGACTTGTTTTTCCCCTATATTAGATTATATGTAACGCTTGAAATTCCGGTAAGAAATTAAGAATGTTGAGATTGGATGTAAAGTGCATTTGTCTGTCGGAAGTTTCTTATTTGCATTTCTGAATGCGTCAAATGGTATCATCTTAATCACCATTATCAATTTACCATCTGGAAGCGGTTTTCTTGATTTCTCATCGAATAAGCCGTAATATTGTAGTAGCCACCCGGTATCCGTGCGTATAACAGCTCACCAAAAGGGAGCAGTTGGCAAATGTACCGCTTGTCACTATAATAAATTAGCTCTTTTCTTATGGGACGCTCCTTCTTGGAAAAGGAAAATGCATTTTCTTGCCACGACGCCTTACGGTAACGTCTGACGTCATGAAAACACACAAAACACACTGCAGAAGGAAAAAATGTTAGCTTGTTCGCGTTATATTGTCATCTAAAATATTATGTGTACTACCAAGCTGCCTAATTTATGCAAGATTAACCGGTTCTCGGAAGACTTGGAAACTGCAGTAGGCAGGTTTCCAAGACCTCGTCTATAAATACGTAAATATTAAAACAGTATGTTCTGGCTTCAAGCTGTGCAGATGCGGAAAGAATAATATTAGTTATTCTTCAATGTTTTTCAGATAAATTCAGTACTGAAAATACTCATACTGCAGATTTGCAGTATAAACTGCAAATCATACGAATCATTGCTCTTTCCTAGAAATTTATGTTTAGGATATTGAAAATCGGAACAGGAAACTGCCGGTATATTATGCAAACTGCGCATTTACTGTCGCTAATTGTATCTTCCTGTAAACCGTTTTGTCAATGCAGGCAAATGCATCTGGGAAATTATGTTGACAATTTTCCCGCGAACATACGCATTATCTGCCATAACCGGCTTCCTGGGATCCAGTGGATGACTGTATCGCTTGCATGACTATGTATGGAAATTATGAAATCAATACTAATCGCCAGAGTGCATATCTGTCCGCGGATTAGGAAGCAGAATCCGTGGTGCACTGACTGGCACGATGCAGGTAGATTTTTATTAAGAAAGTCTGCCGTGTCTTAAGAAAATCTTTGAGCGCTGTCCTGCCCCGTTAATTATTAGAATACTACAGTGGAATTCGACATCTATCCGACCTTTCAACCCGATGAGAATTCTGCAGTGTCAACCCGTCTGTCAGTCCGCGCTAGTAATTACGATAATTACAAGCTGTTTGTCGGTGGTTTTATTTTATTCCATATTCGACATCTACCGGCGAAACGTGTGATTGTGGCGAAGCCGCAGCGAGTGAACTACCGCAGTGATGAATGACTATACGTGGAGAGTTAAGTAAGGAAGCGCTTCTGGATCTTCAATTACCGTGGGTGATCACCGTGAGCGTATTCGTGGGATTAATACTGTAACACAGATAGCAAAAGCTGCTGGTGTTATTCATGTAACTTTCAAGCAAAACAGTTCAGCAGGATGTCGATCAAAGTATACCTCAGGATTCCACTCCCGTTCAAGATTAATACCGCCGTTGAATACATGATACATTCTTATTCAATGACTTATGAAATATTGAAAAGCTTATTGCCGGCGATCTGTGCGTTCCTGCGCTGAAAATGGCTGATAATCAAATGGCATTTGTGCTGATTGTTGTCCTATCTGGTATGATGAGCGTACACGGGCTGCTCAACGTCAGTCTGGTGGCCGTGGTGTACAGTGCGCCCATCGGGTTCGGCTCGCTGGTGTATCTGGGACCTACTTTATCCGTGGCCAAAGATTATGTTTCCGCCAAGTACAACACGACCATGCGCTTCAATTTGACAATTTTATCCAATCAAACAAAAACATGTGCGGATTTGACGGATAATGCCGTCAGGATCGTGTCGGAATGGCATTATCGGCAACGGCCGGAGAATGATCTGACCGTCTATATCATACCCGGTACCGAAAGTTAACCACAGTTACATAAGCGAGGGCGTTTTTACTTGAGTTTCTCTAAGAATTTTCCGTAATACGGTGTTAATCTTTCAGCTTGCGTTGAGTCGACGGAGATGCCGTATTTTCAGTCGCAATGGAACAGCCTATGGATATCAACGTGAGAAAATTGTTTTAAATTGCACAGATCTAATAACCCGGAAAGCCGAAAATGTCTACCAAAGATGCCAGAACCGAATCGAGCAAGCGCTCAATGAAAGCTAATTTTCGCTAAACTGTGTATCCAATAATTAAGGAAAGTTTTAGTTGGAATAAATAGCGTACATCTAAGACCCGTCCCGGATTTCGTTCCCGTCGGACCGCCAGATAATAGACTTACCAGCTAAACCAGTTATAACGGCAAAGACGGTGCACATTCGCAAGATAACACCGGTTCTTGCGTCACCTGCGTACGGTGTATATGATAACAGGCAAAATTTTGCTTTAAACTTTTAAATTTTAAACTCTTAAAATACGCTTTAAAAATTGTTGCGATGGGAGAGGAAATAATGGCGGGAGAAAAAGCGGGAATATACGTAAATGTGTGCCTCGAGTCTGTAAAAAGCGTAATGTTTCTACGCAGTGTCTCTTCATAGGGTAGCATACAGTCCACAAATCCGCAATCGCCAACTATATCCCACCTGGATCGGTATGAACTACTTCTCCTTACCACAGTGCTCGCAGTTATACGTGGCACTCCTCAATAAGTACGCGTGGACATCGGTGTTCCTGGTGATCGATAACGCTTCGGTGCCGTTCTACTACACGTTAGCGGCAGCCCTGCTCACTGATGTCCAAAAGGAGCGCACTATCTCCACCACGGTGCGCAATATCGCCACAACACCGGGAATCCCCTATGGACAATTCGAACCCATTCTGGACGAAATACGCCAGGTCAGCCGAGGTTAGTTGGAGACGGACTAAATTGCTCATGACAGTTAACAATTAATTTTTAACACCGAGAAAAATTCTCATGCCGGAAGTAACCTGCCATATGTTTTACAGTTGTACTGTACTTTGGCCATGCGTCATTTTTGCGTGAGTTTCTGGTATGTTAACCATTTTCTCCATGATGTTATAAAGACATTTAATGATGACAGATATTTTATGATTTCAGATCGCTGCGGCTGTTAAAAACATGACAAATGGAGAATACGTAAGAAGCTTCGTTGCAAAAACAAGACAACCTTTGACAACCTTTGGCGTGACCTTCCTTTGGGTGCTTGTTGCTCTTTGCAGCAACCGGTCATGTTACCAAATCGCTATTTCAGGTTTATGTGGCTGTGGAGGCCATGAAAAATAAACTGCAGGGTCTTTTGGATTGGCGATACAATGACAGCAATGACGAGGTACAATTTTGCTTTTACCATTAATTTTAGTGACAAATCTGACACGTGCACTACCATTTTTACAGATCGCCTTTCAAGCCTTCCAGTCGCTTTTGGTCGTCTATCCACCGATTATGTACGCCGCCCCGATTCAACTCTGGGAGCGGAATTCGTTAAAAGATCGCAGAGAGATTACAATTTCCCTTATGCGCTGAAAGATCAGGTGCGGCAGTATAGTTTGCTAACAATAACCACGATTAAATTACCTCTGTATTATAAATTTTCTCCCTATTTTTGCTTAGAATTTTAATTCACTTGTGGATACCTATTTGGCAATCACCAGTCTTTCTCAAGTAAGTTATGTACGTAGAACTACAATAGTAGAAAAGTAGAAGCACCTATCCATATTTCTGAAGCATATCTTTCTTTTTTGCACTGTGGGATATTTTTTATGGCAAACTTAGCTGAAAGTGGCAGATCCAGTGAAACTAGAAAAAAATGCATTTCTGTTTTTTGAAGCCCGTTACTTATTTTTTGCAACATTCTGCTTGAACTTGGTCTCGTTAACTGCGGCAGCGGATACAAGGAATACGTATCTGCACGTTTTTCAGGCGCTAAATAATTCTTTATCGGCTGGAGAAAATCCAGCTAATTTAACCGGATCAACGCTAGTAAAATATATGCTGGACCGCACGTTCACGGATGACAACGGAGGCGGCACCATCTACATCGACAGCAACGGACTGCGACGAAGTGATTTTGTCATAGCGTATTTCACGCCATCTGGAAACCGTAGAGTACGCAACTACAGTAGTTTTTTCACCGATTATCATTGAAAACGTGCGTAACAACTCATTTCGTGGCACTGGTTGGCCTTTTAGGCGTTACTGCAAAAGCAAGGCAAGGAGGACGGGCTGCGAGAGGTCACGCCAACGCGGTTAACAGTCTGGGCCAACGCATCTTTTCCGCCACCAAACGAACCCTTTTGTGGTTACACGAATCAGAAGGAAGTCTGTCAGCCACAGCGTAAGAACGGTTGACTGGTTACTTGTTTTATTGACTTTAACTTTTGTGCCGTTTACAGGTGATAATCAGTGGATACAGAATACCATTATAAGCCTCGCAGGAGCCTTGGTGATCGTCAGCGCTGCGTTGATCGTTTACTTAAGGTACTATACAGTATACAGTGCATCAGGGGATCGCGGCACACATACAGTGCTAATTAAAAATTACCGTCGACAAACAGAAAAGGAGAGCATTGTACGAATACGAATATGTTTTTGGTGTGGTGTAGAAGAGAAAAGAGGAGAGCGGTGGAGCGCATACTGTACGATCCCTGGTGGCACGTGGTCATTACCATCATTCCTGGTGCGCAACGCCGCCAATCTTCCATCTCCATGTATTTCGCCCCGGGTAAATCGAAAACCGTTCAGGACGACTCGCTGACACCAACTAGAGAAGCGATGAAAAGCGCTTCACCTTCGATTGCGGTAAGGTTTAAGCGAAAGTTGTCTTGCAGGGAAAAGTATGACATTTCGCGTATTTAGGGTCTCCACCAAACTTACGCCATCTATCGGGGACAATCCGTTAGATCGGTGAAGATGTGCCGGCGCGAATGCGCCATAACATTCCAGGAAATGTCAGCGCATCAAAGTCTACTAATTCTTCTACGAAAGGTAACGTGCGGACGCTACTGTCCAAAAAATAATCCTTAAAGCTCTCATGTCTTTGCTCGTCGTTAGTTCTACCGATTAGAGCATCAAAATCTTTGTCGGTTCCTGGGATTATCCATAACCAAAAACAAGTTCGACGTCTACACGATTAGCGCGGTAACGGAATGTCCACCGCGCGGGACCCTGCGTGACATACACAGCAGTCTGGTCACCCGAGATTTTGCCTTTATAAGCTCCCTTATTGTCGACTATCTCGAGGTAAGTACTGTCCATAAAACTAACACCAGTAACTGCAACGTTTCTTCTGCAGGCACTGTGCTTCCTTCACCTTTCTCCGCTGCGCTATCACGGTCGCCTCACACCGTTAACGTGCTGGATTGACAAGCACTTTACACTGAAAGTGACCAATTATGGATTCGACCGATTAGACGTCGAGCTGTGCACCAAGTGCGAGAACATGGAGCCAATCAGTCAAAGCGAGCTAACCGAGCCGCTGTATTGGTGGACCCCGGAGAAACCGAACCTCAATGATTCCAAAGCCATGCAGGCACTGGATGTGTTTTCTTCCGGGTTTATCATCTACGAGATGCTTAGCAACGGAGCGTTATTTCACAAATTTAGCGTATTAACTAAAGGTGTCCTATAGTTGTAGTGCTCACACCGGATTAGGTTACCTGTAGCCATGTTTTGCAATTGCAGATGATTTGTACGCGTTGATCTCTCGTAAAGGAAATGTTTTCCATGGCGCTGTTCAGTTCAAGGATTTTGCGGCTTTCGAAAGTGTGCTGCGGTCGTGCTGGACTGCCGATCCGCATCAGCGACCCAGCATGCAACGTCTCCGGTCGCGTATTGCCGATATCTCGCCACTGTTGACCTCGGGGCTCGGTCAAAATAAATTAATCGATAGGATGTACAAGCGCCTCTCGGATTATTCTGAAGATTTGGAAAATTTGGTAGCAGTGCGGACGAATAATTTGCAGGAAGAGATGGGCAAATGTGATGCTATCATCGGGCAGTTTTTACCACGGTCAGTTTAGAAAGACGAGCGTAACCGTCATACATTCCTGACGAATAAACCTTTCGCCGTAGATTTTGCACGAACAGTTTCTTGAACTTTTCGGTACCGCTAATTTGCTAAAGACCACAATGCAGGTTTTCTTCCAGACGCTTTAACCGGATAGTAGTTTCGCTAACCTACGGCGTTGTTGAATTAAAGCATACACGCGGCCGGTTTTTTCGCCTTGAATTTTTTTTTTGTCTTGAGTCTTTTTTATGGCAGCTAATGAGTGCATTCGCCATGCTCTTCGCCACTGATATTCGTATCCCATCGGAAAGTTTTTGATTTTGTTGAAATTCGTTGTCGTCCTGAATTGTAGGTCTATCGTAAAGCAGTTACGTGTGGGTTCCGACGTGATGCCGGAGCTGTTCGAGTCGGTGACGGTGATGTTCACGGACTTGTCGGGTTTTGTGGATTTTGTCGAGACGAACAGTCCGGAGAGTACGATCAGTCTGATCGGTCAAACTGAATCATGCTTCGACCGTTTATCTACGCGATACGATGTGTATAAAGTGGAAGCTGTGGGAGACTCATATTTGGTATGTGTACAAGAACAAGAAAAATTATAGCCCCAGTTCGCAACAAACCTGGACTGTGCTAGGTTGCCAGCGGTTTGCCAGAAAGAATTGGCAACAGTCATGTTCAGCGCATAGCCTTTTTCGCTACGAAGCTGATGGAGGCCGAGTCGGAGATGACCTTTCTTAGAACACTGCGATTTAAGATTGGATTGCATTCTGGTATGCACAGAAAATTTAACTAATTCGTCAACGTGGTTAGTACATTAGTGAGGTGCTGCAGTTGCGAGTATACTGTAACAAACTTGTTCAATTTGCAGGTCCCTGTGCGGCGGGCGTTTTGGGCTTGCGAAGACTGCGCTACTGCTTGTAAGCAGCCTAATTCAGTCATGCCGTATGGTTGTTGCGTTATTGGCGTACCCTCGTAGCATGGCGGAGTTTTTCAAGGCGAAAGAAAAATTTATTAGAATCATTTACGAGTTTAACCATAGGATACGGTTTTTATTTCAACTGTGGCCAAACAATTGCTGTTTTGCAGATTTGGTGACACGGTGAATTTAGCCTCCCGGATGTGCAGTCACGGCCTGCCGGGTCGCATACACATTAGCTATGAATCGAAAATATTACTGGAAGGATTTCCGGAATACAGGGTGGACTGTCGGGGAACACAGGCCATTAAGGGGGCATTCGAGATGATAACGTACTGGTTAACCGGATACTCTGGGCCGCTGTGATTGTACTGTAACCCATTGAATTTCCCACTGATGAAATTCCAGAAACTGGAAAAGAAGAAAACTGGGCGCGCCTCGCATTCAAGGTGAACCTACTTTCGGCAGTATTGGCCAATCTCAAGAAATGGTAGCACCACGCTCATGCTTGCGAGGTGTTTATCGAAACCAGCAATGCCTGTAATGCGAGGCGCATCCTTCATGTGGTGTTGTTTTCAAAGAAGGATGTGGTTTGCCGCCACATGAAGAAGCACTTAGAAACAATGGTCTTTGCTCACATACACTGAAAGTAGTGCTGCTATGTGCTTACAAATCAGCTGCTAACAACCCTTTTCTTGTTGGCTGTCTCACAACACAATAAAAATTCAGATGCGGAGATGTTCTGCTAAATTTCGCATATACCTGTAATTAAATATTACTCTCGGTATGCCTAGCGGTGTGGATGCAGGGCAGAGGTGGTGTGTTCAGGGATGACTGCTGGCTCTTCAGTTACCGTGGACGATGCACCATGTGGCATCAATCTTCTTTTAGCGGTGAATAGTAGAAGCTGCCAATGCCAGTTGGACTACATGCACCTGCATAATCAGAAGCCACACATTGTATCTGCATATCTGAACCTGGTTTAGATTTCGTTCTGCGCTCGTTTGTACGGAACGTTCTAATAAATAGGACCCGTGATTTGGCAGCACAGTGATCTGGTGTTCGTCGAATTTGGTACTTAATCGTAATCATAGCTGATTAGTGACCTTGCAGTCCTTTCCTTCAGAGCAATCGTAAGCTCCCTCAAAGCGCTGAATAAGTCTGTATTTTTAATTGAGGTAGCATCGCTGTAATATAGACGCATGCTGGCAGAGTAATGTGACAACGCTTTGGTCATGCAGTGTCCGGCAGACGGAGACCACATTTTCCATAGGTCCCGAACAATGGGGACCTTCGCAGCGCTTTAGTCGACTAAAAACTAATAATTGTAACAGTTATAAAAATAATCCATGGCACGTTACCAGTATTTGTACCAGTACATTAACACATTTCCATAACTAATGCATGTGTCCAAACGCAAGGGAAACACAATGCCATTTCACTACGTTCACATGAAATCTGGTTACGCCACTGTTACCTCCGATGTGAAATTGCGAATACTCTCCTTCAACTTTCTCGAATAACTTATCAAATATATGGTATTATTTTACTTTAGCCAGGTCAGAATCGATGTAAATAAATCGGCTAACATAATTATCGGCAAAAAGTTCACAAAGAAATTTGAAGATCAGTTCGTGACTTCCTGATTATTTGAACTTCCTGATTATTTGATTCTGACATGTATTTTGAAAAAGAAATGTCCATATTTTACGAACGACTAGTCTACAGTACTTGATCAGTAAATGTAATAAAGGAAGTTTACTACATTTAAAATTGTTTTAAAGGCAATAAGCTTGTTTTAAAAGATAATGTAAGTTTCCGGTGTTGAAAGAAAACTCTGTTTCGACTGGATTGTGCTATTAAAATCATAGATTCAGTCCGTAGACAAAATAATAATGAATGAATAAGAAGGTTTCATTCAGCTGGTCGATAATAATTAGATGGCCAAAATTTTTAAATGCTGGCGACAACATGACGACATGTTGGATACTGAAAATATTTTGTTCATAGATGAAATTGTAGTAGAATGGCAATAACATATTACTTTTATCGGTAGAAGCATCCCATACCGCTAAAAATTGCAGAGAAAATCATTATTAAAGCACTTCCTTTCTATTTTTTTCCCAGAGAATTCTGTATGCAGATCATTAATATTGACTCTATACAGATACATACATACAGGGCCATGAAAAACTGCAAATATTTCAGAAGAATGGAAAATTTTTAGACGTTGCAGTTTCAAAGCGATAAAAATATTAAAACAATTCAGCAGCGCGAAGTTTCAGTTTCATCAATTCAATGGGCACTATTTTATAATATATTTATGAAGTTCTTCTGCTCCTGCAACTAGTTGTTCTTGGGGTACGTTTGGCTGTTACTCTGTACATTATGTAGTTATCTAAATATACGAGTGTTTTGTGTATTCGTGTACATTAAATATGTTTGCGCTAATATCTGTAGAATTGCAAGTTGAACACAACGAAGCAGAGATAGCGTGGGAGATAGAAGACAAATCAGTAAACTGGTGCAGTAAAAAACTGAAATAAAATATGAGCGCCAAAAGTCAGACTGTGCAAGTTTAGCAAATTAGCGTAGAACTGATGTGTAAGGTAATGTAAGAATATCAGAAATTTGTAGAATAATTACACATAGGGTCCTTTATGAACTGCATAACGTTTTATCTATAGCAGCAGGTAGAGTACTCTATAGTAAATACTCTATAGCAGCAGGTAGAGTACTCTATAGTAAATACTCTTTAAATTCGGTTCGCCGCGGTATCTTGTTCTTTTTGTGGATGTGCGCGATTAGGCGGAAACGACTGCGGTGTTGCGGGTTTTGAGAGCGAACAGGTCGGCATAATTGGGCATACGCGAAATCGAGTTCGGTGCAGGCGGACCTCCCGACAACGAGTTTCCGGTATCCCATTTCTGCCCGACTGCCCGTTTCTCTTTAATTGCTTAGTAGGTGTAACAATTAAAGGCAGATTTGCCACCATGTAGGGTGGGTGGGTGGTTAAAACATTGAGCGATTAATCAGTAGACAGGTCGGAGAAAATTTTCAACTGAAAGTAACATCGATTCAATGTAGTTGAGAAACGGGTAACTAATAGGCAGCCAGTGAGATACGCAAGTAGGTCAAAACAAGGATGTTATGAACAGTGGTTAGTCTGATAGAGAGAGACGGCGTGATCGCGCCAACCTAATTTAACATCGATTAGCATGCAAATCGTCCTTTAAATTCGGTTCGCCGCGGTATCTTGTTCTTTTTGTGGATGTGCGCGATTAGGCGGAAACGACTGCGGTGTTGCGGGTTTTGAGAGCGAACAGGTCGGCATAATTGGGCATACGCGAAATCGAGTTCGGTGCAGGCGGACCTCCCGACAACGAGTTTCCGGTATCCCATTTCTGCCCGACTGCCCCAAACAAAACCATTACCCGTTGGAGTAGGGGTTCAGCGTGGTTGGGGCCGGTGTCCGGATGTAACGCACGTAGCAGTTGCTCTTCCATCGCCCTGCGCGTTGAATTACGCGGTCTGGCACGTTGTTGCGCGCGGCGGTGGTTGCTGCGCCGATGCGGAAGCTGTGCGTGTTAATCCGGAGCTGGTCAGGGTGTCCCTCCAGGAGACGATGGAGGCAGGCTTTTACAGAACGCCTGGTTAGGTATCTGCCGTCCTGATGGATGAGGCACGGCCGCGCTCGAGCTGTCGGTATGAACTGAGCGTGAGCAAGGTACTTCCGGTAAGCCTGCACGGGACACACGGAACGACCTGTCGCCGTCAGCGCTACGGAGTGGCCCTGACCGGTTGGATCGGTCTTCGTGACTTTCAGTTGGATAAGCACTCGATCTTCGTGGTCTTGCACGTCTGTGGACATGAGAGTGCGCCGCGGATCGTAGCTATTGGTCCCTGGGCAGGTGACCTCTCCCACGCGCAGGAAACCGAAGTACATGAGCGTGAATGTAGCCCAGTACAGCGATTGCTCGTGTTGAGGCATGCCACTGGAACGGATGGCACCTATCAAATAGCGCATCGTCTCCGGCGTGATCGGCTGTCGTTTGTCTGCGCCGGGTGGGGCCAGGCGTCGCTAGCCTTGCAGCGCGCGGATCACAGTGTCGTGACTGATTGGCGACTCCATGCCGGCTTTACGGTGGCAATTGTTGATGCCGGCAAGGTAAACAGTCACGGTCCGCAGGGATTTCCTTGTGGAGTACAGGTGAGCGACGTACTCCGCTGTGATATCTGGTGTCGCTGGAAGTGGGTACGCAGATCTAGAGCGGCAAAATGCTGAGAATTGCTTGACGGCTGTGACGTAGGTCTGCCTGGTGGAGCTGGCAATGTGAGCGTGCAGCAGGTCTCTTAGGCCGGTTGTGCGTTGTACGCAACCAACAGCTGCGGGAAGATGTCCGGGCATGGATCCGGTCGTTCCGACGCTGTTGGTGCGAGCGCTCGGAATCTGTGCGGCTGAAAACGGGATAGAGAGTCAGCAATTGCGTTATCAACACCGCTTATGTGTTTTAACGTAAAGGTCATGTTAGCGCAAGCCGCGGCCTTCAACATGCGGCGCATAAGTTCTAATACGCCGGCGTTGGTTGAACGGAGGTTTTCCCAGGCTTGGGTAGCGCCCTCGTTGTCGCAATGGAAAATGACCCGCTCCTCTCGTAGTTTTGAGCCCCAAACAATTAGGCTGAGGAGTATTGGTATCATCTCAAGATATTCAATACAGGGCTTCCGCTGGATGATCCACAGTGGCCAGCGCAGTTGGAACCATGAACCATGATAATAAGCACCAAGCCCAAGGGTTCCGGAGGCGTCTGTGTAAAGGTCAAGTACGTCGGATCTTGTCCAGTCTGGCTGGATGAAAGACGCGGTGCCGTTCCAAGCTGGGAGAAATTCTTTCCACCATTCCAGGTCCTTACGGAATTCGCCGTTGAGGGCGATAACCCTTTTGTGGCGGTTGTCGGTGAGCAAAGCGATCATGCGCCGTGTAAATAGGCGGCTCGCTGGGACGTATTTGGTGGCGAACGTGAGTGTTCCAATTAGGCTTTGAAGCTGCTGTTTGGAGCAATGGTCGCGGTTGCTCCATTCTTTCAACGCTTCTTCAATGTTCTGCCGCTCATCGTCGGGGAGGCTAAGGGTTTGTCGGACAGAGTCCAGACGGATACCCAGAAACGTCAACCGAGTCGCGGGCCCTTCGGTCTTGTCATGTGCCAAAGGGACCCCGAGCTCACTGCACGTCTGAGTCATGGTGGAGATCAGTGTGCTGCACTGATTACTTCCGGGCTTACCAACAAACAGGTAGTCGTCGACGTAGTGGAGCATGCTGACTAGACCGGTGCGGTTCGACACGATCCAGTGGATTGCGCCAGCGAACTGCTCGAACACGTACGGCGACGCCCTACACCCGAAAGGCAACACTACATCAAAATAGAACTCACCGTTCCACTGATACCCGAGAAGGTTCCACTCCGCTGGGCGTACCGGTATCAGTCGGAAGGCTGATTTTACGTCCATTTTAGCCATGAGTGCGCCTCTGCCGAGTTCGGTAAGGATTGATACTGCATGGTCGATGGTGCAGTATACGAGCGGGAGCTGTGCAGCGTCAATGTAATCGTTTACACTGTCGTCGTGCGGCTGGGATAAGTCCAGGATGGTGCGAATGTTACCGTCTTTCTTCAATCGCGCGCCCAGCGCGTTGCAGACAAAGTGCGGTAAAGGTGGGGAGGGGAAATGGTCCGATGGTGTGGCCAGCGCTGACCTCTTTTTGAATAGTAGAGCTTACCGCCGCATGGTGTTTGTGTGTCGATGCGGCGTTCGGTGTTGAGCGTGGCTTCTGAGGACCGGTATAATATATTGTACAGCCGTTAGTAAGCGTTGTGGAAATAAATGATGTTAGGGAGGGGTCCGGATGTTGTGCGAGCAGTCTGGCAAAGGCGCTTAATTGTAGCGGCGTGGTTGCCTTTGCCGGCACTGTCGCTTGCTTACTTGCCCAGTTTTTGGCAGGCGGCTGTCCGGTGCTTATGGTCGCCGCAGCTGGCACACGCGTGGACTCTTCCGGCACGGCACGGTGTTGGGCAGTTTCCGTAGTTGTAGTTGCGGCAGATTTCCCCGTCTGCGGCGGGAGCCGCACGAAAGGGCTGCCCGTGTCCCGGTTGACCTTTCCTCGGTGCTGGGCAGCTGCTGATGTAATGGTCGGTCCCTCCACAGTTTCTGCAGCGGTCGTCTTTTGGTTTGATCTTTTCCGCACTCGGCGATGTTTCCCGTCCAGCGTTTGTCGCGTTCTGGATGCATTCGATGTAGGTATCTTCGTGCTGGTGAGTCCACTGATCAAAGTCGTACGGATGGCCTGTCATATGCGCCTGAACTGACGGTCGTACTCGAGCCAATTGGCGGTCGGAACCCCACGCTCGACGTACGACGCAATGATATCCATGTATTTAAAGAAACGGGTGCTCAGTTCCGGTGCGATATGGGAGCGGTAGCTAGCGAACACGCCAAAAGCACGCGTCCATGAAGTATGGCAGTTGATCCGCACTTTCCCGTCTTCCGGCTTGATGGTGACCTTTCCGTTATCGAAAACCATTTTGGAGTCCAGTCTCTTTGGCTTTTCGACACGATTTTTCAATAAGAGCAGATCGAGATCGATGTACTCGGTGGGATCAAGTAGTTTCTTAACGAGCTTCTTGTCCAATGACGGGAAATGGTTCGGAAGCGGAGGGATGGCTGTGTTACCGGCGGCACTTCCCGGCATGTGTCCGAGTCAGCTGAAAACGTCTGGGCGCTCTCCAAGGCGCTCGCGGACCGGTATACGGACTGGTAGGTTGTCCGATGATTCGCTGCTGCTAAGAGATGACCTGGAGTCGCTACGCTTACCTCTTTCCTGGTTGCGCTTACGTTTGCGGGTAGTCGAATGTCCGCCCTGACGATCAGTCTGGTGCACGATTCTTCCGAAGTCGTCACCGATCTGGATCTGTAGGTTGGAAGACGGTGATAATGGCCGGGGTGCTGACGGAGCCGGAACAGGCTCCGGCGCTGGTGGCGGCTGCGGTGGTAACGGGTCTGGAATAACCTCCGGTGCTGGTGGTAGCGGCGGTGGTGGCGGTTGCACTAGACGCTCCATTGTTGCGAGGATCTTGTCGAGCTGCTCCTGGTGTTTCTTCTGCTGTTGCGCCAGTGATTGAACCGTCGGTTCCGAAGTCTCTCCGCTGCTGGCCGTGGGGAGCGGTTCACTGGTGGTGGTGGTCCGTTTTGCCCTGGATGTCGTTGGGGCGCGATTGGACGGTTGTGGTCGTCGGTTACCGCGTCCTCTTCCAGTCATTTTCGCAATAATATTGGTACGATTAATCGCTAATTAACTGCGGGAGCGGGTATGCGGGATCAGAATTTTCTTCGCTAAAGGTCACTGGAAAAGTGACTGGTGTGCTATGTATTGCGTTAGGTGATGTGTGCAAAACATTGAGCGATTAATCAGTAGACAGGTCGGAGAAAATTTTCAACTGAAAGTAACATCGATTCAATGTAGTTGAGAAACGGGTAACTAATAGGCAGCCAGTGAGATACGCAAGTAGGTCAAAACAAGGATGTTATGAACAGTGGTTAGTCTGATAGAGAGAGACGGCGTGATCGCGCCAACCTAATTTAACATCGATTAGCATGCAAATCGTCCTTTAGCAGCAGGTAGAGTGTTTATATTTTCTACGATAGCGTGAGCCCGTTATACTATACAGTACAGAAGTCTTCTACAGTTCCTTCCTTCTTCCTTCTACGCTACCTTCCTCGCATGCCTGCTATGCGATATACCTTCTACGCATCTCTACCGCATAAGGAGCAGAAATTTCACTCAACTCCGCTCCGGCCTGCCATTAACACTCGCACAATTTCACGTTCGATTTACGTCGGCTTTTCCTGTGCGCCGGCCAGGCAGCGCCAATCACTATCTCGCAACACGCCCCTTTCCGGCTGTATTACAACGTTTTCAGACACTTGCGCCAAGTTTAACATTTACAGTGACAAAATTTAGAATTCCAGCTTGCATATTCTTCGATTTTTTACTGTTGTCATTTGCGGATCTGTGCTCTGTTGGTTCTTGCATCTAGAGATTCTGGGTCGACCCATTCCGCTTCTTTTTAATCTGTCCGATCACAGATCTCATAATGGACGAGCTATTTGCAAGTCGCGGGTAGGATGCTCACTTAGCAAGTATAATATCGCAGGGAGTACTTAAATAAATTCATAATTAATTAATTGTTTTTTCGAAGTCTGCGATGCCCGCCGTGGCTCCACAGCGCAGTCAGCAGCGCGCAGCAGCAGAATCTGCGAGGCAAAGAAGGCCGATATTTCGTTTATCGTTCCATCTGGAGTCGACTCCTGGTTAGCGAGCACTACAGATTGAAGTTGTACAGATAGCTATCGTTAATCGTTAATGTGGTCTCTGCTTAGCGAGCTCGGCTAGTACGGAAAGGAGAGACTGCCATTTACCCTGATGAGCTTATTTCAGCTTTATTTGTGCTGTTTCCAGATGACAACGACCATAAAAACGTAAGAAAATAATTCTTGTCTTGTGTGGCGTATAGATTGGCAGTTTATTTTGTTTTCTGCTCGTCATTGGTTCTTGCAGATGGGTCGACCCACAGTGACGCTGGAGCAAATATCTCGCATGTGAATACATTTTCTGGTTGTTATTAACGCTTGTGATCTGTACAAGTAGCCGTGTATAAGATTTAATAAAATCAAAAGAAAACTAATTTTCAAAGCAGTCTACACAAATGTTTCCGCTGTGCTCACCACAAACGTTATTCGCGCATGAAATACACAACACAGTCGTATTACGGTTTATCTCAGGTGGACAATAACAACAGCGCTTCCGTTTACCAACTTTTCGAGATCGCCAGAGGTCGACCCCAACATTATTTGCATTCATTCCTAAGGCTTTTCCAATCAACGCCTTCAGCGATCCCCTAGAACTTGGGTATCTTTCTCGAAGTCTAGGTAGAATTAGTGCCTCCGAAAGTTCGATTAGAAACAGTCGACGCGAGTGCCTGCGCCCGTTGCTCCATTCAGGATTCAGGGATTTCCATACTATCAAAGCATTCAATGCGCTGATGTCAAGCATGTTATGGAACACCGCCATAGGCCAACGTCGACTCGCGCGATGTACTGTATAGGTTCCAATCAGCTGGTCCATGGTGTCGACACCTGCTTTTGTAGCATTGTAGTCCAGGATGACATCCGGCTTTCCTTGCTCGTCTTCATTTGATTTTTTGTCGTGATGTAGCGAACTCAACAAAATCACAGCACTGCCGATTTTCGGAACATATGATACCAGAGTGAATTCGTTGGTAAAACCGAATAAAGTTGAATACAGTGCTCGATTCCGGGATGGTAAAAAATCGTCAGGAATTTCGCCTTTGTTTTTCCTGATTGTTCCAACCATCGTCATATTCCGCTTCAGTAGCTCTCTACCCAGCTCGATATCGGTGAAAAAGTTGTCGCACGTGATGTTGATCCCAGAGGTCGACCTCAAATAATCCGTCAGATCAAGAACCACCCGTCTTCCCTGATTTCTCTCTGGAAGCTGTCCCGGAGCTTTGCCCGTATATAGCTGAATATTCAAGACATAGCTGGTATCGGCGTCCGCGAATGCCCAAAACTTTAGACCGTATTTAGCTGGCTTTGATTTCATAAACTGTTTGAAACTGCATCTCCCCCTGAAAGGATACAACTGCTCGTCGACTGTTGTATAACATCCAGGACTGAACGAGTTTCGCAACACAGGCACCCAGTGATCCCACAATTCTCTCACAACGCACATTCGGTCTACAGTACGTCTTGCCGCTCTCGTGGATTTACGGTCGAACGATAACGCACGACAAATCTTTATGAACCGATCACGTGACATAACCGCTGCGTAAAGGGGTCGACCCCGAGTGGAATGCCACAGTTCGCTGGTATCCGTCCGACATTCTCTGTTGACTCCTTGCATAATAAGCAGTCCCAGGTACGCATCGAGTTCGACCATATCAAGGAGATTCCAGTCGCTTTTATACACTGCTTTTCCTCTTTCGTTGGTATACTTCAGAATGACGGATTTAACTGATGTATTCATAAAATGATCAAAGGAATCGCGGATAGCTTTCACGGCATTGGCAACATGTGGCTTTGGTCCCGACTGGTGGAGGACTTTATCGCATGAACGCACTCGACTAGTTCCTGGCGGCTGCGAAGACCATGTTGTTTTTCCGTCTTTGGACATAAAGTTCTCGGGTTCGGCTATCGAGTACAGAACATCGGCATCATCTTCGGATTCTTCGTCAGCGAGATCTTCGATGTCTATACGAACAAGCATTTCAGCATTTTCTGACGATGTTCTGACATGACTGCTTTGAAAGTCGACCTCAGATACAGTATTCACGACGCTATCAACAGGAACTGACATCTCACAATCTTCGTTCATCTTTCTCGGTAAAACAAATAAAATACCAAAGAAAACATGGACATTAATTTCTTCTGAAAATCAAATAGTCAGAGGATGCGGTTACATCTGATCAATTAGGCGCAATCACCCAGAAAGCCAGTCGGAGAGAGGAGTTGTAACGGCGGACAGGGCAACTTTTACAGTATCCCTTATCACAAACGTCTCTTCCAGGAGAACCAGTTTAATTTATATTGCTCGTTATACAGTATTATAATAAGGAGGAGAACGGAAACTCGTAACGTATGTTGACAGATTTAAAACAAAAAAATTCGGTTGAGCACAAGTAGGGAAAAGACATGTAACTTCCGGTTGGGACGTTCTCCCGTTTTTGTTCACTAACACTGCCGCGGTTGGTATATTTTCATGAAGTTTTAGTCAGTTTTGTAGACCATGGAATTTTCTAGGAATACATATAAGACTGGTGGACATGGCGCAGCTACTGAATTTCTTCTAGAATTTGTTAGCATTTATTGCGCCTGAGCGGCAGTAGAAATTGTGCGAGTGTTAAGGAAGTGGTACATGGTACCAAATTCGTGTACACGCACGAAAACTTACACTTTCGCGCACTCCCAAACACATTTTTATCGGTTTATGACATTCTGCAGCCAGAAGATTTGTATACACTAGTGTGAAAACCGTTTGTGCGCGCAACATCCGCTTCGGGAGTTATAGCTGTTAGAAAATTCCAAAAAAAATAAATGCGTTCAGGTGTACCTAAAGTCTCATTATGAACCGATCTCACTCAAATTTTGCATGTAAATGCGCATGTCCATGAAGATCGTTTTTACACCGATCCACTATTCTAGCATGTTTTTCAAATTTTAAAATGAATTTCAAGAATTTTAAAATTTGAAAAAAATCATGGAAGCCTGGATCGGTGGAAGTCATGGAAGTCTGGAAGTCATAAAACAAGAGAAAAAGGGTTTGGAAGTGGGCGAAAGTGAAAGATATCGTGCATCCACACGAATTTGGTATCATGTATCTGTACCGGGCCACTTCCCTTAATATTTTGCACACCAACGTGCGTTTTCATATTACTGGCTATTGAGTTGACATTAGGACATCACCACATTTCTTTCACAGATGGTTCAGATTCGTATATTATGAAAGACCGCTGCCATGTACAGCAAGCAACGGATCACTCCCATGAGATATAGGGTCTCAGATTCAAAGCGAATCTCGCTATGGTACGGTAACTACGGTTGCTCGTGCATACCGCACGAGGTGTCTGTATGCACTGGCCAAAGGTTATAGATACGATACGCAAAGCCACCTCGCCAGGTGGAGTTACTGCATCGCAACTAGAATCGCTTCAAATCTGACACTCACCCTTACAGTAATGAAAAATGCATTAACAGAATACGACCGGCTGGAGTTTAGGAAGTTTTTTTGCACAGTACACACTAACTAGACTTATAGGACACCGGCAACACGGATTTCGGCAATCTCCGATCTCTGCAAGTGACGGGCTGCCACATCGAGAATTAGCAAACTTACCAACTCTGATTAAGTTTTTACATTCTTACTGCTGGTGGAAAATTACACCGAAGCCAAAGCTGCTGTTCCTGAAATTGTAATGTACCGGCATAGTAGACATGATTGCGGCAGTATTGTATATCTGTGGGAGGCTAGGGCAGTGGCAAAGTCTGCCGGTGGAAGATCGAGTACAGTAGGGCTGCTGGATGATCATATTACCGTGGGTAAACACCGTGAGGCATTTTATTCGCGGGCTCAAAATTGCAGTACATATGTAGACTGTAAGTCATGCATCCTGATGAGTACTTTTGACGACCACAACCAAATGCTACGCTGTGTCGCACATTGCACAAAGAAGCTTTCTCTATTCGAACCCGGTTCATATGCCTTGCGGGTTTTTCCTTCGTATTGGATAATGGTTATATTCCTGTTTGGCCATGTTTGTTGTTATGCTGTTAAAAAATTTTGCTGGCCGACGGGCTTACCGATTTCACATTTGTTCACGCAGAGCAATGCAACAGAAAGCCGATTGCAATGTCCGTCGACGTAGTCCCGTAATTAGCTTGTAATGCAAAGTTTCATCTCCGGTCTGTGTATTTTTGCACTGAACTTGTCTGATGAACACATGGCGAATGTGCTGATAATTTTCATCTGCGGTGTTGTGTGCCGTAATGTACACGCCCTACTGAACGTCAGCGTGGTGGCCGTTGGTTACAGGGCGCCCATCGGGTTCGGCTCGCTAGTGTATCTGGGGCCCGCTTTATCCGTGGCCACGGAGTACGTTTCTGTAAAGTACAATACGACCATGCGCTTCAATCTGACCGTATTACCTGATCCGGTATGGACGTGTGCGGATTTGAACGATAATGCCGTCCGAATGGTCTCGAAATGGCATTATCGGCAACGCAAGGAGAGTGATTTTACCGTCTATATTATACCCGGTACCGATACTTTTAGTTGCATGCGCAGCTGCGCTTAATTAAGACCCTTGGGGTTTTAGAGCTGTTCTTTTGTTAATCGGGTTTTGATCTTACAGCCTGCGTTGAAGCAACGGAGATGCCATATTTCCAATCGCAGTGGAACAGTTTATGGATTTCAATGTGAGTCAAATGATTTGCGCTGGCTTAGAAAACGTATTCCTTAGAAAAACACTAATGCCTTATAAAACTGCGAAACCGGATCGCGATTCGAAAGGTGCCGCTTTTTGCTAGACATCATACAAGACAAACTCATCCGGTTAATATTAAAACATTATTCCATTTCTGTCGGATCGCCTGGCCAGTTCAGTTAAAACATCTAACCAAATTTCTTCGGCGAAGCCCATGCAAGCTAATGTCGCACAATAAAAAACGTTTTTTTCAGTAATCGCTTTATTGGGCCTCATTTGAACGATTTGTACGAACCGTGCGTGGCTAGATTAATTTTTATACGATGGAATGTGCTAGAAAGGAATTACTGACGCAAGTAACATATGAGTGAAGTGAGCACTAATGCTGATGCACAGTGATTGACTATAGAACATCCTACGGCCCACAAATTCGCTATCGCCAGCTGTATCCCACTTGGATCGGTATCAACTACTTCTCAGTATCGCAGTGCTCGCAGTTGTACGTGGCGCTTCTCAATAAGTATGCGTGGACGTCGGTGTTCTTCGTGATTGACACCGCATCAGTACCGTTCTACTCCATCTTATCGGCTACGCTGCTCAGTGATCTCCAGAACGACCGCCGTATGTACGTGTCCGTGCGCTATGTTGCCACAGCACCTGGAATTGCCAATGGCCAATTCAAAGCAATTCTGCATGAGATACATCAAGTTAGCCGAAGTAAGTCCAAAGGAATGCCGAATACTACAATTATGTAGGAAGGACTGTATAAAAACAACATTTCAAATAATTAAATAACATTAAATAAACAACATTTTAATAATTAACTACACCATTTTAAATTTATATAGAAAGCGCGGTGCACACGTCAAAGTGATGTGCCATGTTTCTGTTTACAGCTGTTCTGTACTGTGGCCACGCTGCGTTTTTGCGCGAGTTTCTGGTACGAAAATCTGGTTCTTACACATATCTTACGGGAACAAAACCAGAGATAATTTCATTTCAGATCACCGCGGCTGTGAACAATATGACTAATGGAGAATACGTAAGTAAAAAAGCAGTTGCCTATTAAACGGCGATTTAAATTTTTTTTTGCGTCTGATGACCTTTGTATGAGTCATGCTCTTTACCGGGTGAGTTTTGCAGGTCTATATAGCTGTGGAAGCCATGAACAATAAATTGCAGGGTCTTCTTTACTGGCGCTACAACGACAGTAATGATGAGGTACAGTTGTGCTTTTATTTCGAATAGCAGCAAAATTAATATGGAGCGCACGTGCAGCACGGCTGTTGCAGATCGCCTTTCAAGTCTTCCAGTCGCTTTTGGTCATTTATCCGCCGAATATTTACGACGCTCCTGATCCAGCGCTGGCAGCGGAATTCGTCAAAAGGTCGCAGAGACTATAATTTCAGTAATGCGCTGAAGGACCAGGTAGGGTGGCATGATTGGCTGGACTACAAACAAAGTTACCTTTTCACTCTGCACAACTTCCTCTGTCTTTTAGAATTTTAATTCCGTTGTGGACACTTACCTGGCACTCCCCAGCCTTTCCCAAGTAAGATATATATATTCGGATTTCAAATCATACTCAAATAGTAAATTTTCTTTTTTATGCTGTAGTTTAATAACTTTTGTGTAGAATCTCATTTATCCGCCGCAGAGAGACTATAATCTACACTGTAGATTACTTAGTAGTTAGTACAACTAGCAGATTCTTGAAAACTGCAACATATGTTACTGTCGTGTTATTGACGCAAACCATATTTCTCTGCCGCACATTTGCTTACCTATTCTTCGCTCGTATCTACAAGCCTTATACGACAGTTAAGGTTCTTGCTGTAAAAGGCGGTCGCAAATAAAGGAAATCTTACTGGTGCAAGGTTTTGCCATTTCTAGGCGCTAAACGATTCCTTATCGGTTGGTGAAAATCCAGCTAATTTAACCGGATCCATGCTGGTGAAATACATGCTCAACCGCACTTTCACCGATGACAACGGAGGCGGCACTATCTACATCGACAGTAACGGTGTGCGGCGGAGTGATTTTACTATATCATATTTCACATCCTCCGGCAACCGTGAAGTATGCAGTTAGTTCACCGTTATTCGTTGAAAAAAAAGCGCCTTACAGTTCATGACACTGACGGCGTCTTTAGCCGCTTCTGCAAAAGTTTGGAAAGCTGGACGAGGTTACACTGCAGGAGGTTACACGGCTAACAGACTGGGCCAATGCAACATTCCCGCCCGCCAATGAGCCTTCCTGTGGTTATACCAATCAGAAGGAAGTGTGCCGACCACCACGTAAGATCCGTCAAACACCTGTTTTCAAATATCAAATACCGCAACGTCATTTTTTATCGGTTGCAGGAAATAATCGTTGGATACAGCAGATCATTTTCAGCTTTGTCGGAGCTCTGGTAATCGTCGGCGTTGCATTGATCGTTTATATAAGGTACTATGCGAATTGCTATGCGTTATTTAGCATAACGTAGCATGCGTTATTTAGCATAACGTAGCATGCGTTATTTAGCATAACGTATTATGCTAATTTAAACGATGTAAGACATCGGCTTAGGTCTTAGCGAGCTGTAAAGGAGTAAAATGTACTGCGTAGGACGTACGAACATCATAAGTATCTTTGGTGCGATTTAGAAAAGAAAAGCAGAGAGCAGTGGAACGCCTACTGTACGATCCGTGGTGGCAGTTAACGATCCCCGGTACTTTTGGTACCAAGCGCCGTCAATCGTCCGTCTCCACGTTCTTCGCCAGTGGCAAAGCCAGACCCACAGACAACGGTTCAGTAACGTCAAGGACGGAAGCGGTGAATAGCATAACTAACAGGAAGCGCGCGTTCGCACTGTCCATCGAATTCTGTTCTGTATATCAGTTAACATTCGTACTGCATATATTTTTATCATTCAGGGTTCTCATCAGACCTTTGCTGCCTTACGGGGAAACACTGTCCGGTCTGTGATAATCTGCTGCCGTGAACACACCATAACATTTCAGGAAATATCTTCCAACCAAAGCCTGTTGATTCTCTTACGGAAGGAACATAGCCAAGCCAACTGTAACAGGATTTCTAAAAACACGGAAGGAAAGATGGGCGTTTTGTTTTCAGTTCTACAGATTAGAACATCAAAATCTCTGTCGGTTCCTGGGATTATCCATAACCAAGAGCAAGTTGGACGTCTACACGGTCAGCACAGTGACAGAATGTCCACCGCGAGGGACACTGCGCGATATACACAGCAGCCAGGTCACCAGAGATTTTGCCTTTACAAGCTCGCTCATCGTCGATTACCTCGAGGTAAAGCAGTGACATAAAACTACTTGCAGTAACTGATGAGTTACTTCTGCAGGCCCTGTGCTTCCTCCACCAGTCTCCGTTGCGTTATCATGGTCGCCTAACACCATCAGTGTGCTGGATTGATAAGCATTTCACGCTGAAAGTGGCCAGTTACGGATTGGACCGGTTAGGCGTCGAACTATGTAAGTGCGAGAACATGGTACGGGTTAGCCACAGCGAACCAACCGATCCCCTATACTGGTTGACCCCGGAAAAACCAAATCCCAGTGACCCCAAAGCCATGCAAGCGCTGGATGTGTTTTCAACCGGGTTTATCATCTACGAGATCCTCAGCAACGGAGCGTTGTTTAACAAGTTTATTGCATTAACTGAAGGTGGTCTGTTTTAATAGTACACGCACTGGATTACGGTTAACTGTAGCAACGTTTTGCAGACGATTTACACGCGTTGGTCTCTCGTAAAGGAAACGTTTTCCATGGCGTTGTGCAGTTTCAGGATTTTGCGGCTTTCGAAAGCGTATTGCGTTCGTGCTGGATTGCCGATCCGCATCAGCGACCCAGCATGCAACGTTTCCGGTCGCGTATTGCCGACATCTCGCCACTGCTGACAGCGGGGCTCAGTCAAAATAAATTAATCGATAGGATGCACAAGCGCCTCTCGGATTATTCGGAAAATTTAGAAAATTTGGTGGCAGTGCGGACGAATAATTTGCAGGAGGAGATGGGCAAATGTGATGCCATTATTGGCCAGTTTTTACCACGGTCAGTTCAGAAAGACGAGAGCGAATCGCACAAATAGTCCCTCATAAATTTTATCGTATTAATTTCTTGATACCACAAATAATACTACAAAATGCCACGACCCATGTCTTCGTCCAAAGGGTTTTGCCGTCCGGCATTTTTGCATATGCTGCTGGTTTAAAGCTTTAGACAGACAGTTTTTTCGTGTTGCCGTTTTTGGCGACTGCTAATGTGCTCTTCGACATTTGCTAAACGTATCGGTCGGTAAGTCCCTGTTTTTGGTCTAATTTATTAACCACATCGATTTTAGGTCAATCGTAAACCAGTTACGTGTGGGCTGCGATGTGATACCGGAGCTGTTCGACGCAGTGACTTTGATGTTCACCGACCTGTCAGGTTTCGTGGACTTTGTCGAGACGAACAGTCCGGAGAGTACGATCAGCTTGATTGATGAAACGGAAGCCTACTTCGACCGTTTATCGACGCGATGCGATGTATACAAAGTGGAAGCTGTGGGAGACTCATATTTGGTATGTATCCAAGAAGCAAAATTGGAGCGCAAATTCGAAACAAACCTGGACTGTGTTAGGTTGCCAGTGGTTTACCAGAAAGAATTGGCAACAATCATATTCAGCGCTTAGCGTTTTTTGCTATGAAACTGATGGAAGCCGAGTCACAAATGACCTTTATTAGAACACTGCGATTTAGGATTGGATTGCATTCTGGTAGGAGTACAAAACTTAGCTTTACATGTTACGCGGTTACGTTACGTGCATACGTGTAACGTGGTTTCTTACTACATTAGCGAGTTAGTTTCAGATACAACTACAAGCATAGCGTAACAGGCTGGCTTAATCTGCAGGTGCCTGTGCGGCGGGTGTTCTGGGCTTGCGAAGACTGCGCTACTGCCTGTAAGAAGCCTTATTCATCCCTGTCGTATGGTTAAAGCGTTTATGGCGCCCTCCCGTAGCGGAGCAGAGTTTTCCGCATGATAAAATTTTTTTGAATCACAACAGTGTTCTGGTTAGCAGATTTACTCACTCTGGATACGGGTTCGTTTCTCAGTTGTGCAAAAAATCCTGTTTTGCAGATTTGGTGACACGGTGAATTTAGCCTCACGGATGTGCAGCCACGGTCTGCCGGGTCGCATACACGTTAGCTATGAATCGAAAATCTTGCTGGAAGGATTTCCGGAATACAAGGTCGACTGTCGGGGAACACAGGCCATTAAGGGGACCCTCGAGATGACAACGTACTGGTTAACCAGATTCACTGGGCAGATATAATTAGTATACCCACTAAAATCGAAATTGACGAAATTCTGGAAACTGCGAAGATGAGCACTCCCCCTCTACGATGAATCTTGTGCTCCACACCCACAACGGGGTGGTTGCATGCAGGACCAATGCTCAAATCGGGCGGAATAGTAATAGACCACCTAGGGTAGTAAAACAGTTAGAAGTAATTTCATTTGCTCACATATACTTCTTTCAATGCCGTGAGACACGAAGTTTTCTGGATGTTGGTTGTTTCCCTGCTGCCAACCGCGTACAGAATAAAAATGCAAACGTCTAAACGATTTGCCAAATTTTGCTGTAACTGCAATTAATTTTAGATTAATAATGTGGTTATTGTCCCTTTCGTCAAAAAAATCTAGCCAGCGTGAATTTAAGAAAATGCATTGCAAAATCAAAATGCATATGGGAAATTAACGTTGACAGTCATTTCCGGGGAGGCTCATATTTGTCATTAGCAGCTTCCTGTGGGCTGTAATATCGTTTTATAATGGTGGCTTGCAAGTTGCATGCCATGTCTGTGGAATGAACATTGATCGCTGAAGTGCATTTGCCGGGTGATTAAGAAGGAACATGGGCAGCGTACGACAACCGTACGTTGGCGTTGTGGATATGTGCCCTGTCCACGGAGAATCGCTTGTTCCATTTCTGTCTTATCAATCATCTTGTTAATCAGTAGTACCATTACGGTCGGTGTCGACATTCATCCGACCTTTTAGTCGGCGCATCTAGCGGGTCTTTCCTGTGCGCTCGCGTTCGTAATGACGATAATTAATAGCTGTTCGTCGGTGTTATATTTCATGTTTCACGAGTAGAAAAGATATGATTGCATAGAAACCGCCAAATATACTAGCACAGCGACTAATGACGAAGTGGATGCAGTGGTGTGTTCCGCACACCGGATAGCGAAGTGGACGGGTTGCTGCTGGTTCTTCGATTACCGTTGTCACATTGAAGATATAGGTGTTGGTTACACGACAACGTGAGCTACTCAATTTTTGTGATCAGCGATACGCTGGAGTCCAGACTCAAAATCAACCACGACAATCTTAAGCCAAAAAACAGGAAGATAATCACATTGCTCCTCCAACTTTGATTCACATCGTCAAATGGAGGCTTACTAAAGGATACAGATTTAATGGTGGCAAGCAGTGTGCGATGATCGAAGATGGGTGATCATCGAATGGTGTTTGCACTGACCGTTTCCATCTGTGGCGTGTTCACGAGCGTGCACGGGCTGCTGAATGTCAGCTTGGTGGCTGTTTCTTATAGGGCGCCCATCGGGTTCGGCTCGCTGGTGTATCAGGGACCCTCGTTATCCGTAGCTACGGAATATGTTTCCAGCAAGTACAATAGGAGCATGCGCTTCAGTCTGACCATTTTATCCGATCCGGTGCGGACAACCTGTGCGGATTTGAATGATAATGCCGTTAGAATGGTCTCGGAATGGCACTATCGGCAGCGGAAGGAGAGCGACCTTACCGTCTACATCTTACCCGGTACAGATAATTTATATGCTTTCATTTCCTTTAACACGAACACTAAAGTCGTACGGGACTCGTACCTTAAAAGCGCCATAACGGATTTCGCAACTAATTTTTTAAAACATCTGTCAACAGCATTATGGCCAGCTACGAATTTATGGCATTAGAGAAAGATTTTTAAATCTGCGACTAACACTGCAAAAAAACACGATTATGGGGACTGGATGAGCTATAGAGCGCATACGAGTGGTTTCTGTTACAGAGTATCTCTTGTCTCTTTCTGTTACACTGTGTAGGTCTATTTATCTTCATGATCTTGTGATTGGTCTAGCTTCAGATAAAATAAAAAATAAGTACAGACAGAAAACGCAATCAAAAATACATGCTGATGGTCTCTTCCACCACGAAAAAGACCTCTTTACCTCAAGTGCTCATCGACACAGTGTCAAACGCTACATATGCTTCTCATAATCGGTTCTGGTTTGGCAGCATGCATCGAAGAAACCGAAATGCCGTATTTTCACTCGCAATGGAACAACATATGGATTTCTACGTAAGTAATTTATAATTCCTTTGTCTTTTAACATCAAAACAACTTTTAAATGTACAAAACGTTGGCTGTGTGGCGCATGTCATAACAGTCAAATATAAGGTATGTTCTGTCCATGTGCGGTGTAAAACTTTGATCCATGCCCTGTATTAGGACGTCCGTCAGTCCGCAAATCCGCAATCGCCAACTGTATCCCACCTGGATCGCCACCAACTACTTCTCCTTATCGCAGTGCTCGCAGCTGTACGTGGCACTTCTCAACAAATACTCGTGGACGACGCTGTTCGTCGTGATCGACACCGCATCGCCGCCGTTTTACAACGCGCTAGCGACAGCAGTGCTCACTGATCTCCGGAAGGAGCGCAGTGTATGCGTCACGGTGCGCAAAATCGCCACGACGCCGGGAATTTCTTATGGACAATTTGAAACGATTTTGGATGATTTCCGTCAAGCCAGCCGAGGTTAGTTGGGCGGGTATTATGTGAAACATCACAAATAACAAAATCAGCGGCTTAAAAATTGGCACTATGTGTTATTGACGAGGAGCCGACGTGCTGGTAATGTCCTAATTATTCTGCCATGCTTCTGCTTACAGTTTTGCTGTACTTCGGTCACGCGGCATTTTTACGCGAGTTTCTGGTACTTGTATAAAAACCGATTTCTTGAACCGCACGTTGATACACTGTTTGCTACTCATCCAAAAAGTTTTTAGATTACTGCGGCTGCAAAACATATGACGAATGGAGAATATGTAAGCATTGGTATCTGGAAAGGATGAAATCTGTAATGATGGTCTTCAAATTCTACTCTGACAACTTATCAGACTAATATCCCAGGTCTATATTGCTGCGGAAAGTATGGAAAATAAAATGCTGGGGCGTCTTCACTGGCGCTATAACGACAGCAATGACGAGGTGCAATTTTGTTGGCCTTTTCTGTATCTAAAAAATACTGCTGACGCAAGACGCAACGGGGCACGTGCAGTACGCGTTTTGCAGATCGCTTTTCAAGCATTCCAATCGCTTTTGGTCGTTCGTCCGCTCAATATCTACGATGCTCCCATCCCGACGCTCGGAAGGGAATTTGTTAAACGATCGCAGAGAGATTATAATTTTACCTATTCGCTTGTGGATCAGGTTGGTCCAGTTACGCTAGTTAGTACTCTGTAGTTGTCCACCAAAGGGTAAATATTCTACTAAAAAATTTCTTTATACTTTTGTATAGCCGTTCATCACGCTGGTGGACACGTACCTGGCAGTCACAAGTATTTCCCAAGTAAGCATCTATCCAGTAATAGATTTGCTGTTGTAAATCAGAAACTGCCTGATTCCAGTGTTTTTATTTATTTCCAGGCCGTGAATGATTCTCTATCGGCTGGAGAAAATCCAGCTAATTTGACCGGTACCACGTTGGTCAAGTACGTTTTAAACCGAACCTTCACGGATGACAACGGGGGCGGCACCATCTACGTGGATGGCAACGGACAACGGCGGGCTGATTTCACCATATCGTACTTCACATCGGCCGGCAGCCGTGAAGTATGTAAATACGCACCGGTACTGTAATAAGTACTGCTACGTGATTACGTCATTCCTGGGCTTATAATCAGTACGAATCTTCGTATTTGGAACTTGTTATGCTAGCCATGTTTACCATGTTAATAGCGTTCTCGATTTTACTATGTGAACCTTTGATTTCTAGCCATTTATGCAAAAACTCGGAAAATCCGATGAGCTGACAGAGGTCACCCGCTTGACAGTATGGGCTAACGCGACCTTTCCGCCACCGAACGAGCCGTTGTGTGGCTACATGAATCAGAAGAAAGTCTGCCAACCAGAGCGTAAGGATAGTGAATCAGCAACTAGACTATAGGACTCATCTTTTTGTGTGGACCACAGGTGACACTCGACGGATACAGAACACAGCAATTAGCGTGATCGGAGCATTGGTAATTGTCGCGGTCGCAATAGCGGTCTACATTAGGTGGGTTAATGAATTGTACAATAAATAATAATGTACCGTATATGTGGTCAAATGATACATACAGCATGAGCAGTAATTAGTGTACCGCTTCCAGTTGTTCAACAAAATTTTTCACAAATGCAGGAAAGAAAAGTGGAAACCCATGGATCTCATATTGCACGATACTTGGTGGCAGGTGACCATTGCCATCATTCCCGGTGTAAATCACCACCAATCATCCATCTCGGCATTTTTCGCTCCTCGAAAAGAAAACACTGCATACGACGGCGCCCTGAACAAGAAGACATGCGACGGGGCGGAAAATACTGCCCACTCGCTGGAGGCAATTGTCATACGTTAATTGTACTGTCGATAAAACTAGGACGCTCTGTGATTTTAGGGTTCCCCTAAAGCTTTTACCATGTACCGGGGAAAAGGAGTCCGGTCAGTGAAAATCTGTCAGCGCGATTACACTATAACCTTTCCAGAAATGTCCACACAGCACAGTCTGTTGGTTCTTCTACGAAAGGTAGCGCCTACTACGAAGCATCATCAGCAAAAGCACTTATACAGGGTGTTTGTAATTAGTTCTACAGACTGGAACATCCAAATCTTTGCCAGTTCTTGGGATTAGCCATAACCAAGAGCGAATTGGATGTCTACACGGTCTGCGCCGTTACGGAGTGTCCGCCGCGTGGCACACTGCGCGATATACACAGCAGTCTGGTCACGAGAGATTTTGCTTTTATTAGTTCGCTCATTGTCGATTATCTTGAGGTAAATCAGTTTCATACAGTTACTGGCCGTAATTGCCCAGTTTCTACTGCAGGCGTTGTGCTTCCTGCACCAGTCTCCGTTGTGCTATCACGGTCGCATCTCACCGTTGGCCTGCTGGATTGATAAGCACTTCACACTGAAAGTGACCAATCACGGATTCGACCGATTAAGCGCTGTTCTGTGTACCCAGTGCGAGAACATGGAGCCAATCAGCCACTGCGAACTGACTGAGCCGCTGTATTGGCTGACGCCGGAGAAGCCGAATCCCAATCATCCTAAAGCCATGCAAGCAGTGGATGTGTTTTCGTCGGGGTTTATCATTTACGAGATGCTCAGCAACGCAGCGTTGTTCCACAAGTTCATCGTACTATCTAAAGGTGGCTTATCCTTAGGGAACACGAATCGGATTATGGTTACCTGTGGCAACATTTTGCAGATGATTTGTACGCGTTAATCTCCCGTAAAGGAAATGTTTGTCATGGTGCTGTGCAGTTCAAGGATTTTCCGGCTTTCGAAAGTGTGCTGCGGACGTGTTGGCTTGCCGATCCACAGCAGCGACCCAGCATGCCGCGTCTGCGGTCGAGCATCGCCGAAATTTCGCCGTTGCTCACGCTCGACCGGAATAATTTAATAGATAAAATCTACAATCGCCTCTCGGATTATGCCGAAGACTTGGAAAGTCTGGTGGCAGTGCGGACGAACATTCTGCAGGAAGAGATGAGCAAATGTGATGACATTATTAGCCAATTTTTACCACGGTAAGTTCAGAAACAAGCAACGCTAACCGATAAAAACGGTCGGATGTTGATTTGAATGCCGTATCTTTTTTCCCGCCTAATAGTGTACACTTTCCTACAGATATAATATTATTGCAAAGTGCCCAGGTTTCCGGTCTTACCAGGGAATATTTTCCGCCTCCAAGTTCAAAAAATTCTCATGTTTAGTAAAATGGTAGTGTACTATTGTAGTATGCCTAAAAAAATATTTTTAGCTCGCATCGTCGAGGGGGCGTGGCCAGACAACAATTAAAAGTTTGCATACTATCATATACTGTGTAATGCAGTGCAGTACAAGTTATTCTTAATTATTATGTTAACTTTTTCCCGCAGCACCGTGGACTTTTGCAGCTGTCCGCTGTCGTGAGATGTTTTAAGTAAAAGAGGCCCATGTGCATCGGCTCGGGCCTTTGCTGCCTGGATACACATTTTCGGAAAATTTTCATCGATTTGTGTTGTAAACAATAAGTTGTGCAAAAACTTTGTTCTGCTAATACACAGATCTGTGCTGTACTTCATAACAAATTTTTGAAAATGTGCACAGAGGCAGCAATGGCACGAGCGGACGCACGTGGGCCTCTTCGACTTAAAACATTTCACGACAGCGGACAGCTGCAAAGTCTACGGTGCTGCAGGAAAAAGTTAACATAATAATTACGAATAACTTGTACGGAGTACTGCACTGCATTACACAGTAAGTATATGACAGTATGCAAACTTTTTAATTGTTGTCTGGCCACGCCCCCTTGACGATGGCAGCTAAAAATAGTTTTTTAAGCATACTGCAATAGTACACTACCATTTTACAAAACATGAGAATTTTTTGAATTTGGGGGCGGAAAATGTTCCCTGGTTAGTTCTGTGATTTACCGGTGGCGTTTTCCCTTAAGACGGCTTTGGCGGTTAAACAAGAAAAGCGTTAGGCGTTCACTTTTTTCTCGCCTTTAATTTTCTTCTTGTAACTTCCGCTAAATAACTTCTGCAATGTTCTTCCTGTAACTTCCGCTTCCGCTAATGCATTTTTTTAATATTTAAATTTTGTATTATTTTGATTACGAAGTACTAGTGTGCCCGAGTCTCCAGTTTCTTGCTATTTTGATGGCTGCTGCCTATTAAAAGCCCTGCTGCTGATCATTGCTGATAGTTTTTGGTTGTTTGTGGTTAAACATACTATCGCCGGCAATTTTAGGTCGATTGTCAAGCAGTTGCGTGTGGGCCGTGGCGTGATGCCGGAGCTGTTCGAGTCGGTGACGGTGATGTTTACTGACTTGTCGGGATTTGTTGATTTTGTCGAGGCAAACAGTCCTGAGAGTACGATCAGTCTGATCGGCGATATGGAAGCCTGGTTCGATCGGCTGACGACGCGATACGATGTGTTCAAAGTGGAAGCTGTAGGAGACTCGTATCTGGTTCGTATGTCGGCACACCAAACGCACAACCGGTTAAAACCACTTGGATTGTGTTAGGTTGCCAGTGGTTTACCAGAAAGAATCGCCAAGGACCACATTCAACGCATTGCTTTTTTTGCCGTAAAACTGATGGAAGCCGAGTCGCAGATGACCTTTCTGAAAACACTGCGGTTCAAGGTTGGATTGCATTCTGGTAGGAATCTACAAACATCACTGTCGGCGTTGGGAGTTCTTCAGTGAATATACTGCGATGTATGCAGACCAACCGTAACGAAATCCTCAATTTGCAGGCCCATGCGCGACGGGAGTTGTGGGTTTGCGAAGACTGCGCTACTGCCTGTACGTTGCGTAATGCATTTCGTCAATCCAACTGGTCAGCTTTGACTTCATACTTTTCTCACTCGTATGATTTGCAGATTTGGTGACACGGTGAATTTAGCCTCCCGGATGTGCAGTCACGGTCTTCCGGGACGTATACACATCAGCCATGAATCTAAAGTATTACTGGAAGAGTTTCCTGAGTACAGGGTTGAGTGTCGAGGAACACAGGCCATTAAAGGGACCCTCGAGATGACAACGTACTGGTTAACGGGATTCTCTGGGCCGCTGCGATAGTTGCACCCTTCATAAATTTACAATTTACGAACATTTGAAAAGTGGGAGAGTGAGCGCGCCTCGCATTCAAAACGCATCCCGATTGGATGTAACGATTGGATTAGCGAAGCATATCATAATTTGATTTTATAGGTGGTTTTTACATGGTTTTGTTGCATTTTTAAAGCGGGGTACGATTAATCCCATAACTACGTTCTGGCGTAAATAAAAAATTAGAAACATTATGACATCTGCTCAAACATACTTCAGTCAATACTGCCAGGTGCTTTGTTAGCTTCCAATTACTTGCCCCAATGTTGACTGTTTCGCAAATCAAACGACCTCTTACAGGATAAGAATTCTGACTTTTAGACGATTGCACAACGTGGTATGGCGACTATATTTTATGATTGTGTGATTTATCTGAGTAGTTGCACCTTTCGTATAACTGGTGAAAATCTAGCCATTGTGAACCCATGGCAAAATTAAGAAGGCAGATCAAAAGCCGCCAAGTACAACGATTGCAGTGATGAAGGATGACGTTGATGGATTGGTACTGCAATAAGCACAAGCAATCCGTTACACCTACAAACGGCTAATGTATTCAGCCTTTGATGCAGGGAAGGAGAATGCTTCGGCTCAGTGCATTCACATACTGTACAGTACTTACAGTACAAGCTTGTCCGGTAATTTCCTACGTAAAGGTACAGCTAGCGCGAAGTTTGCGCATATAACGATGGCCACTTCACTACGTTTATCAAAATCTTTAAATGCGCTCCGCAGTTAGATTGTCGCTTACTGCACCGATCATTTTCTAGCCACCTTCCGCCAGGCAGTTACTATTATTCTCATAAAATTATATGGCGTGTACGAAGCCACTACCCAGCCAAATGCAAGTTACGTGTTTGAAAAGTGTGGCGTGGCGCGCCGTAGTTTGCAGTTTGGCGTAACACGCAAATTTATGTAAATCGCTGTATGGATTCGTAAGAAATTTCCGGACAAGCTTGTACATCCATTTGGATTAAATCCGGGTGCACTACCAGTCTACCACTGTGTAGCGGTAGTACGGCAAGTACAGTCCGCATACAGCCATCACCCACTACAGTTTAAAGTCTGAATTAGGTAATTGTATTCAAACCGACTGTCCTGTTTAATAACGATACAATATCGTTTACCAACAGCATGACATGTCCGTTATGACGAGCGAATCGTGCAAAAAAGGGTGCCGTACATACGAATCGACCGTATCTATCGTACATACGAATCGACCAAAAACACTTTTGTCCTTCCCGATTCGGATACTGTACTTAAAACGCGTAGTGCTCTCCTCCCTTTGAAGTTGGATGAATATTCTTCGTACTTTTAATATGCAACGATTATCAAAGAATTTGCGACCTGACCTTTTTGCTTTGATTATGATCCTTTGTATTATGTGACTACACTGCGCAGTGCGCACTGTGTTATGTGCGCTTTGCCTCCAGGAAAAATATATTAAAGAAGAGAAGAGCTGCAAAGTTTTCGGATTTGTTGATTCATTTTATTAGCACAAGGTTAACCAAAATTATTTAATTTAAGCAGAGTGTATTAATTATGCTCCATGCAGCAGTAGTACTTTCAAAATTGTTTTGCACCTGTGCTGTAGGCTCCAGCGGTACCGGCAATTAAGAACGGCTTCGTAGCTGATTGTTTTTAAACAAAATGCAAATGAAACGGTTTTCCGACGTGCTAAATCTAATGGCATTGCGAGTTTTTTTTTCATCCTTTAATAGTGGATTCTGTATACGAAGATTACGGGGAAGTTGGCGGCACTACAGATCTTTTTCCTTGATAGCAAAATATGTATAAATTCGCCGCTAATTGGAGCACTCTTTTTGCTTTTTATTAAGTAATAGAGGTATTTTTTACAGGAAACAGACAAAGCCCAGTACTGTATATACGGGAAGTGCGATACGGATACGTATGTGCGGTACCCTTTTTGCATTAAGCGCTCGCCATAGTCCGTAGATGCAACGCTCATACATCCACCCGGTGAATAAGCCGAAGAACAAGCAGTGTAGAATGGCTATAGACTATAGTATGCGCTTGCGGACATGTAGCGTGTCTATGGAAAATACCTATTTGGTCACATTCCTGCACCATTGATCATTAACACTCCGGAATGTATTACAGCAGACTTCCTCATTCCTCTGACCTTTCAGTCAGCGCATTCAGCGGTGTGAAAGTCCGCTGCGCGTGCGGTTGTAATTGCGATAATTATTAAAATAATACCTATTCGAGTGATTTTTATTGAGCGAAGCTCGCCATGGTACATAATGCGATTAAAAACCTAACATACCTATTCTGTTTCGTCTTCATATAAGGCAGGTATTAAGCCGTCAAGTAAGCGACTGCAGTGAACGACGTTGATGGCATTTGATACAGCAGTGTGTGTAACGCATACCAGATAGCCAGTAAACGAATCTGCTGCGGGATCTTCAGTTACCGTGGGTGATTGCACTGCGAGGCATTTTATTTTTGCGATCAACAATGTGGTGCGTAGAAAACAAGCTGTCAATGTCAATCAGGATTCAGGATGAATACCAGCCAACCGAGACAGCAGCAAGCCGCTTAAAATGCACCGTCAAGATTTGGCAGACATATTTAGTAATTAGTGGCTTAATATACATCATTAAGCTTAATGGCAGCATGTATCTTCCCTTAATATGGGTGGTAGTCGAATGACTTATTTGCGAATTCTGCTAATATACGGCGCAATATGCACACGAGCGCCCGCGCCCTGCTCAACGTCAGCCTAGTGGCTGTCGCTTACAAGGCGCCATTCGGGTTTACCTCGTTGGTGTATCTGGGACCGACGTTATCCGTGGCAACGGAATACGTTTCTTTCAAGTACAACACCACCATGCGCTTCAATCTTACCGTTTTATCCGATCCGGTACGGACAACGTGTGCGGATTTAAATGACAACGCCGTCAGGATGGTGTCGGAATGGCAGTACGGACAGCGCCAGGGGAACGACCTTACCGTCTACATCATACCCGGTACTGATGTGTTATGTCGGTTGGCAATTTAAAACTGTGTTAACTCACACGCACAGTGTCACACGTATACTTTCTCAATAACTATAACTGCTTTCAAATGGCTGCTGTGTTCGGTGAAATATAATTCAGATATTCTGGTTTTTGCAGCCTGCGTCGAAACGACCGAGATGCCGTATTTGCAGTCGCAGTGGAATAATATATGGATTTCAACGTAAGCAATGTATTTTTCCGCCGTTTTCCGGTAAAGAAACGTATAAATGTGCAAACCATCTTTGGCAAAAACACATCATCATTACAGAAAATTAGGTATATTCTGTCACAGTGTGCTGTAAAATTTTTAACCAAGGCCTACGTTAAGGATGTCGGTCAGTCCTCAAATCCGCAATCGCCAACTGTATCCCACCTGGATCGCCACCAACTACTTCTCCTTATCGCAGTGCTCGCAGTTGTACGTGGCACTCCTCAACAAATACGCGTGGACGTCGGTGTTCTTCGTGATCGACACCGCATCGCCGCCGTTCTATTATACCTTAGCATCTGCACTACTCGGGGATCTCAAGAGGGATCGCAGTATGTCCATCACGGTGCGCAATATTGCTACGACGCTGGGGAAGCCTTATGGACAGTTTGCAGCCATTCTGGATGATATACGTCAGGCCAGCCGAAGTAAGTTGAAATTTAACCAATTATCTGTGCTACGGATATAAGAAAACGGTTAGACAAATGCCGTTTTTATCGCTGACGGGGACTTCTAATGATGAAGTGCTCACCGATGCCGAATGCGGTTTGATATGATTCTGTTGCAGTTGTGCTGTATTTTGGACACGCGGCCTTTTTACGGGAGTTTCTGGTAAACCGATTTCTTAACGCATACAATGACAACAGTTCTTTCAAAAAAAATTATTTTTAGATCACGGCGGCTGAAAGACAGATGACTAATGGAGAATATGTAAGCAGATTACAACCGGGATCTGGAAAGATGGAAATCTGTGATGACCTTAAGATCTATTCTGGTAGTCATCCCACTAATAATGTAGGTCTATATCTCCGTGGAAACTATGAAGAATAAAATGCTGGGACTTTTGCACTGGCGGTATAACGACAGCCGTGACGAGGTACAATTCTTTTGACCTTTACTTTCTCTCTATATTGCTGCCAACACGTCTCTAAAATGTGGCACGTGCAACACGCATCGTGCAGATCGCTTTTCAAGCTTTCCAATCGCTCTTGGTCGTTCATCCGCGAAACATCTACGATGGTCCCGATCCGACGCTGGGAGCGGAATTCGTTAAAAGATCACAGAGAGATTACAATTTCACTTATTCGCTTGTGGATCAGGTGTGTGACGCTTCTGGTTGAACACCATACTTTTAGAAGTGTTGAACACCATGTAATACTTTTAGAAGTTTATCTTATTTCTGTGTACAGCCGTTCATCTCATTGGTGGACACGTACCTGGCAGTCACAAGCATTTCCCAAGTAAGGCATCGACCAAGTAACTGATTTGCTGTTGTAAATCAGAAATCGCCTGATTCCAGTGAATTTAATTTTTTTCAGGCCCTGAATGATTCTCTATCGGCTGGAGAAGATCCAGCTAATTTAACCGGTACCACGTTGGTCAAGTACATTTTAAACCGAACCTTCACGGATGACAACGGGGGCGGCACCATCTACGTGGACGGTAACGGACAACGGCGGGCTGATTTTACCATATCGTATTTCACGACCGGTGGCAGCCGTGAAGTAAGTACGCTCCCGTACTGTATTGCTACGTCACTCATGTGCTTATGATTAATACGAGTGCTCGTATTTGGAGTTGGTTATGCTAACTAGTTTTACAATGTTAAACAGCGTGCCCGATTTTGCTATACAATCCGTTGATTTCTAGCCGTTTATGCAAAAACTCGGAAAATCCGACGAGCTGACAGAGGTCACCCGCTTGACAACATGGGCTAACTCGACCTTCCCGCCACCGAACGAGCCATTCTGTGGCTACATGAACCAGAAGAAAGTTTGCCAGCCAGAGCGTAAGAACCGTAAACCCGCTAACAGGCATTGGTCATGTTTTTGTATGGACCACAGGTAACAATCGCTGGATACAAAATACAGTTTTGAGTCTGGTCGGAGCACTGGTGATCGTCGCGGTCGCAACGGCGGTTTACATAAGGTTGGTCAGTTACAAATGCAGTTAGTACATGTTGAGCAGCAACCGGCATACGTTCCGATTTTTCGCAAAGTAACTGCGCTCTTACGCAGGAAAGAAAAGCGGAAAAACGCGGAGCGTATACTGTACGATTCGTGGTGGCAGTTGGCCCTTGACAGCATTCCCGGTGCGAAGCGCTACCAATCGTCTGTCTCGACATTTTTTGCTCCTCGCCCAAGCAAAGCTCCACACCGCGACTCCTTGATGCCGACAGAAGAAGCGATGTCTAGTACTACGCAGCCGTCGTTTAAAGTAAGATTATTCGCAAATTCCATTGTTGGGAGAATTAGGGCCTTTGTTTTTTCAGGGCTTCCACCCAACATTCGCTGTTCACCGGGGCAAACCCGTCCGGTCAGTAAAGTTGTGTCAACGCGAATACGCCATAACGTTCCTGGAAATGTCCACACATCGGAGTCTGTTGGTACTCCTACGGAAGGTAGCGTTCGGAGCGAGTCAGCAAATAAAAAATTTCAAAGGTGTTTATTTGTTTGTGATATTTAGTTCTACGGATTAGAGCATCAAAATCTTTGCCGGTTTCTGGGATTAGCCATCATCGAGAGCAAACTGGATATGTCTACGATCTGTGCAGTGACAGAATGCCCGCCGCGCGGCACACTGCGCGATATACACAGTAGTTTGGTCACCAGAGATTTTGCGTTTATTAGCTCGCTTATTGTCGATTATCTCGAGGTAAAACAAAATTTCCCGCTCACTGTTCCATGAAGACTTTTGTAGACGCAGTTTTCCAACAGGCAGTGTGCTTTCTGCATCAGTCTCCGTTGCGCTATCACGGTCGCCTTACACCAATAGCGTGCTGGATTGATAAGCACTTTACACTGAAAGTGACCAACTACGGATTCGACCAGTTAGGCGCCGAGCTGTGCACTAAGTGTGAGGACATGGAGCCGCTTAGCTACAGCGAACTGACTGAGCACCTGTATTGGCTGACGCTGGAGAAGCCGGATCCCAGTGATCCTAAAGCCATGCAAGCAGTGGATGTGTTTTCGTCGGGGTTTATCATCTACGAGATGCTCAGCAATGGAGCGCTATTTCACAAGTTTCAAGCGTTAACCAAAGGTAACCTTAACCCGCGGCACATGCACCTGCGATCATCTGTCGTAATGTTTCAGACGAATTATATACTTTGAACTCTTATAACGACAACATTTACCACGGCGCAGTGGAGTTCTCGAATTTTCCCCCTTTCGAAAGTGTACTGCGATCGTGCTGGCTTGCCGATCCGCAGCAGCGACCCAGCATGCCGCGTCTGCGGTCACGCATCGCGGACATCTCACCGTTGCTCATGCTTAGTCGGACGAAATTATTTGATAAGATCTACAAACGAATCTCAGATTATTCCGAAGATTTGGAAAATTTGGTGGCAATCAGGACACACAATTTGCAGGAAGAGATGAGCAAGTGTGATGCTATTATTGGTCAATTTTTACCAAGGTAATTTAGTATGGGAGACTTGATTATCATTAATTAAAAGCGCTACTTTCCGCGGCAATCAGACTGTTCTGATCGCTTTCGATTATTTCCGTAAATTGTAGATCAATCGTGAAGCAGTTACGTGTGGGTCGCGACGTGATGCCGGAGCTTTTCGACTCAGTAACGGTAATGTTCACTGACCTATCGGGGTTTGTGGATTTTGTCGAGGCGAGCAGTCCGGAGAGTACGATCAGTCTGATCGGCGAAACGGAAGCCTGCTTCGACCGGTTGTCGACGCGGTACGATGTGTACAAAGTGGAAGCCGTTGGAGACTCATATTTGGTTTGTTTGCGAGAATAAAATTAAGTTAACAGATATTGTCACAGACAGTGTCATATAACTAACGTGCAAACCGGGTTGAACCAGTGTTGTCTTAGGTTGCCAGTGGCCTACCAGAAAGAATTGGTAATGATCACATCCAGCGGATCGCCTTCTTTGCGCTGAAGCTAATGGAATCCGAGTCGCAACTGACTTTTCTTCGAACGCTTCGCTTTAAAGTTGGATTACATTCTGGTTAGAATGTAAAGCTGGTAGATGAGTAATGCGCGGTAAGGAGAATAACCGGCTTATTCATTTGCAGGTCCCTGTGCTGCGGGTGTTCTGGGACTCAGAAGACTACGCTATTGTTTGTAAGCATTCTCGCAATAATGGGGAACTGGGAAAGCTCGTTGGACTATTTGCACATCTTCCTTTGCAGATTTGGGGACACCGTCAATTTAGCCTCGCGAATGTGTAGTCAAGGTCTGCCGGGGCGCATACACATCAGTTCGGAGTCCAGAACTTTATTGGGAGGCTTTCCTGAATACAGCGTCGACCGCCGGGGAATATTGGCCATTAAGGGTACGTTGGAAATGACAACGTACTGGCTAACGGGTTGGACTGGCAGTGGGACCATATGATTACTGAAGAATGCGCGGTCACCCGGTGATGGAATCCGGATAGCTAAAACGGACAATACACAAATACACCTTGCTATGTTACAAATACACCGCATGCAAGTTGCATATTATATGTCTGTGGAAACAGCACTAATCGCTAGGAACCAGAATGCATCCGCTCGCTGGTTATGAAAGAGCAAACCTATCAAATCGCAGCTGTGCGATAGTTTTGCGTTGCGGATATGTACCTGTCTACGAAGAATCGCTGAGTCAAATTCGGGTTTCTGCGGCGTTCATTTTTAAAAATATTACAGACTGCAGTTGACTTCGACATTCGTCTGAGCGGCATTAATGCATAAGTGGGCCAGTGTTGCATGGATACATGTTTATTTTTTATGTTATGGGGAGGGGGGACCCTGGAATATCAGATCAACACAGGCTGAAAACTGCGGCAGCCTGCGAAACTGCGGCAGCCTCCGAAACTGCGGCAGCCTCCGAAACTGCGGCAGCCTGCGCATTCGTGATAAACTGAGAAAATCGAAATTAATTCTCCTTCAGTTATTCTTTCAGTAAAGTCATCCTTCGGGTTACATATCCTGGCAAATATTTTACATGTATTTTCGTATTCGTGTATTTTGAAAAAGAATGTTATTTTTTTGTACTTTTTGCGTGTATTTTGAAAAAGTGGCAGGTTACCTTCTTACCATTGCGGCCATTAACTTCTTATTTAAAAGTTTTACATTTCCTAAATTTGGAACCATTTAAAAACATTACAAAGCTGGTCGAGCAAAGCGCGGTTATTACCTTCCTACTTTATAATTTCTAAATTTCAGTCTGGACGTGAATTTCACGAAACATTTTAAACATCATAAAGCATTTGAACACTTTTCGAAAGGTGGCCCCATTATGCGGGCATTTTTGCATATTTAAATAACGTAGTAAACATTTTCACAAAATGCGATTATACGACATATTTCTACACTCCTAATTTTTGCATTATGGCTGCGTGCAACGGTAAACACTGGCGTTAGCTGGGTTCACGTGTGACCTTTTGGTGTTGGCACGGCTGCTGGCTGCTGGCACAGATTTCGTTCTGCTGCTTTTTTTTGCGCAACGAATTTAAGGTATTTCGCAACTTTACAACCAGTTTTGAACCCATGGTAACAACTGTCTGTACTTCGCATTACAATAATTATCATCATTTCGTTAATTTTTACATCAAAAGGGTTCTACGCTCCTACAGTAAAAGATGCCTTTGCCTAAAAGTTGTTTTTATTTTCGTTAGACTGATTTTAACTGATTTTATCAACCAAAACGAAGCGAAGGTTCTCTGCTTTCAAGAGAATAGGACATCGGTCACGACGTTGGGACGGTCACGCATTAACAAAAAAAAAATTTTAAAAATAAAATGTAAATAAATAAAAATATTGATAAATAATTTATTGAATAAACGCATTTATTGAAGAGTGGTACTATTTATTGGATAATCAGAACGTTAATTTAATAATACGGATTCTTTGTACGAGGGACGGCGCTCATTAGACTAAATTCTCGGTGGTCTAATTAAACGGTGGACTATAACTAATTCAACCGTTCAATGGGTTCCTCGAAAAACTTTCAGCAGCATTCAGCAGCAGCAGCAGCAGCGGCTACTTTCAGCAGCATTCAGCTTAGCAACACACCAACACCACAAGTCCAGCTTGCAGCGCCGCAGTCTCGCAGTGCCGCAATCTCGCAGCGCCGCAGTTTCGCAAGGCCGCAACACAGCAGTCTCGCAGCTCCGCAGTCCCAGAACGTGGCAATCTCGCAGCGCCGCAGCCTCGTAGAACCGCACTCCCGCAGAGTCACAGTCCCACACCGTCGCAGCCGCATTCCCGCAGCCTGGCTGCTTTCTCGCCCCGTAATAATTCAGACTTAAGATGTTATTTTCTGGCCCACTTCTGCACAATTACCGTCTGAGCTTTTAATCGATCTATTTAGCGGTGTGTAAGCATGCAGCGCGCGGTTGTAATTACGATTATTTATAGCTGTTCGTTGGTGTGTTATTCACGTTCCACGTAAGAAAGCTATAACTGCATAAGTACTAAGTTTGTACTTATGACGTGATACGTATTAAAGGTTCATGCTAATACGAGCACCGAAGCATCGAAGCCGCCAAGTAAACGATCGCAGTAACGAAGTACGGCGTGGATGCAGGGAATGTTTTACGTGTACCTGATGGCGAGTGACGAGATCTGCTGATGGGACTTGTATTACCGTGGGCGATGCAGCCGAATCATTTCAGTTTGGTGATTCAACTAAAAGCGCAAAATATAAGCTGTCAATATCAATCAGGACGATTACAAGCCAGCTGAGAGGAGAAAGCCGATCCCAATTTCACCGTTAGGATTTGGCTGACATCAGCATGCAGCTTATTAAATAATCTAATCTTCATGGTAGTGATCAGTGCGTTCCACCCCTAAATATGCGTGATAAACAAATGGCTTATATTTTGCAAATTATGCTCGTATCAGTCGTATATGGTGCAATGTGCACAAGCGCCCTGCTCAACGTCAGCGTGGTGGCTGTTTGTTACCGGGCGCCCATCGGGTTTGGCTCGTTGGTGTATCTGGGGCCCGCTTTATCCGTGGCTACGGAATATGTTTCCATCAAATTCAATACCACCATGCGCTTCAATCTGACCATTTTATCCGATCCAGTGCGGACAACCTGTGCGGATTTGAGTGATAATGCCGTCAGACTGGTGTCGGAATGGCATTACGGACAGCGCAAGAAAAACGACCTTACCGTCTTTATCATACCCGGTACCGATCATCACTTCCCTGAAACTTTCTTGCTTAAAACTGCTGGTGAAAAATGTGTTAAACACTTCACAAGTAGTTATATACATTCTCTTAGATAGTTTCTGGAGTGAAATAATTTTGGTTTCGTATGCAGCTTGCGTCGAAACAACCGAGATGCCGTATTTTCAATCCCAGTGGAACAATGTATGGATTTCTACGTAAGCAAATCATTTTTCCGCTGTCTTTCTGATAAACAGTATTAAAAACAATCGTACATGTGCATAGTGCAAACCGTTCACGGCGACAGTGCATTAGAGATGGGCATCGGATAGGAATATCCGATTTTATCCTATCCGAATCCGAATTTCGGATAGGATAAAGGATAATTATCCGAACCGCTCGGATACGGATTAGGATAAGGATGACGCCTCGTAGCCTACGGATAGGTTCGGATAATGGGTGCTTGTCCGAACTTTATCCGAGAATCGAAATAATTTATTTGCGGTATTAAATTACGTTGTTAAATTACAAGAATTACAAGCGGTAGCAGTGACACTGCAATATTAAAGATTGTCGCAGCACCAAGATGCAGTTGTTCTTTTGTGTTATGCTGCAACAATTTAGCAAACTGCAGCTTTCGTATCCGCTTTTTGTACGGAGCATGAAACATGATTCACGCATTTGCACTAGTCCATTATCTCATCGTTTTAACGTAAACCTGAAGTTCATCGATATTGAAAACTGAGGTTATAATTTATTATTTGATTCTGTCGATGTCGTATAACTCCTTTACATAACTCTTCTTCTGAATTAAGAACATCGAAATTTTGTTCAACCGTAATGGATAATTTGACTGGATTAAGACAATCATTTGCCGAGTCTGATTTTTTTTGTTTTTGTTGAAAATTGTCTTTTTGGACAATTATCCGATTATGCTGGGATATCCGAGTGTCAGATAAGGATAGGATAAGTATAAAGAAATAAAAAAAATTCGGATAAAAGGTCGGATAAGGATAATTTCAAAAAGTGTCGGATAGGATTATAGGATAAGGGTAAAGGAACCTTGTCCGATGCCCATCTCTACAGTGCATATCATAAGAGATAACAAGGCTTGTTCTGTCAGTGTGTAATGAAAAATTTTGCACCATGTGTTGTTTTAGGACGTCCGTCAGTCCACAAATCCGAAATCGCCAGCTGTATCCCACCTGGATCGGCCTCAACTACTTCCCCTTATCACAGTGCTCGCAGTTGTACGTGGCGCTCCTCAACAAATACGCGTGGACGTCGGTGTTTTTCGTGATCGACACCGCATCGCCGCCGTTCTACAGCCTGTTAGCGACTGCACTGCTCGGTGAGCTCAGGAAGGATCGCAGTATGTCCATCACCGTGCGCAGTATTGCCACGACACCGGGGAAGCCCTATGGACAATTTGCATCCCTTCTGGATGATATACGCCAAGACAGCCGAGGTTAGTTAAATGGCGGGCCAAATATTATAACTGTAAAATATATGAAAATTGCTGCGCCGTAATATTCCCGGGGAACATACGGGAATATCGCGATTACAATGTCCTAATTAATTTGACATGCTTCGGTTTACAGTTGTGCTGTACTTCGGCCATGCGGCATTTTTGCGAGAGTTTCTGGTACTAACACAAAATCCTATTTCGAAAAAACAAAATGCGATAAATTTGGAAATAGCCACTCAGAACATTTATTGCAGGTCACTGCAGCTGCAAAACAAATGACTAATGGAGAATATGTAAGCAGTGGCACACGATGATAATACCTGAAAAAGATGCAATTTGTGACGTTAACCTTTATAATCTGTTCTGCTACTTATTATCTGTATCGCAGGTCTATATTGCTGTGGAAAGTATGAAAAATAAAATGCTCGGACTTATGCACTGGCGCTACAATGACAGCAACGACGAGGTATAAATCTGTTGACCTTTGCTGATTTTCTGTACACTACCAATGCAGGCAACAACCGCACGTGCAGCACGCGTTTTGCAGGTCGCTTTTCAAGCTTTCCAATCGCTTCTGGTCGTCCAACCGCGAAATATCTACGATGGTCCCAACCCAACGCTTGGAGGTGAATTCGTCAAAAGATCGCAGAGGGATTACAATTTCACTTATTCGCTTGCCGATCAGGTATGTGGTCACTGTGGGGGAGTTGTTCGTTGATAACGGCAACGTACGAATAAATGTTTTTGAAAGAAATGTTCCTGTAATCGTTTATAGCCGTTTATCACGCTGGTGGACACGTATTTGGCAGTTACAAGTGTTTCCCAAGTAAACATCAAATTGATTTGCGTTGTAAATTTCAAATGTCCAGATTCCTGTTTTTTTCAATTTTTTTCAGGCGCTGAATGATTCTTTATCGGCTGGAGAAAACCCAGCTGATTTAACAGGGATCACGTTGGTAAAGTACATGTTAAACCGAACCTTCACGGATGACAACGGGGGCGGCACCATCTACGTGGATGGTAATGGGCAGCGGCGGGCTGATTTCATAATATCATATTTCACATCCGGCGGCAGCCGTCAAGTAAGTACGCACACGCTCAAATGCATTCCTACGTGTTTCCCATACTTAACAACATCCGTTTTCGCACTTGGGACGTTTGGCGCTAACTTGCCATTCTTACCATGCACGAACAGGTTTCAGTGTTTTACTCCATAAAACATTCATTTTCAGCCGTTTATGCAAAAACTCGGAAAATTCGATGACCTGGAAGAGGTCACCAGGTTGACCATATGGGCTAACGCGACCTTCCCGCCACCAAACGAGCCATTCTGTGGCTACATGAATCAGAAGAAAGTGTGCCAACCAGAGCGTAAGAACCGTCAACTAGAACCAGTTAACAAGAATTTGGTCGTGTATGTGTATGGGCCACAGGTGACACTCGCTTGATACGAAACACCATACTTAGTCTGGTTGGAGCAATGGTAATAGTCGCGGTCGCAATGACGGTTTACATAAGGTGGGTCAATAAAATAAATTTAAGACTTGCTGATACAGCTTCTCAGTAGGTTTAAAGCAACCTCGGGGTAATGTAGGAAAGAAAAGCGGAAAACCGTGGAGCGCATATTGTACGACCCGTGGTGGCAGGTGACCATTGCCAGCATTCCCGTTGCGAAACGCCACCAATCGTCCGTCTCGACATTCTTCGCTCCTGGTCCAGGGAAAAACGTACACGATGACTCACAGACAAATGAAGTGGTGAATATTAGCACCACTTAGAATGCGCTTAGGTCGTCCTTTAATCATCCCGTAAATGACCCATTGCTCCATTTTCAGCAAGAATCGAACCAATCATTTGCCGTCTACCGTGGAAAATCCGTGCGGATGGTAAAGATAGGCCGGCGTGACTACAGCGTAACATTCCAAGAAATGTCCACACATCATAGCCTACTGGTTCTCTTACGAAAGGTAGCACACATTGCACCACTGAACGCCTCAGAAAAAAATAGCACTGCCGCAAAAACGTGTGAGCTGTTTTTAAGTTCTACAGATTAGAACATCAAAATCTCTGCCGGTTCCTGGGAATAGCCATATCCCTGGACAAGTCTGGCGTCTACACGATCTGCGCGGCGACGGAATGTCCACCGCGCGGCACACTCCGCGATATACACAGCAGTCTGGCCACCAGAGATTTTGCTTTTATAAGCTCGCTCATCGTCGATTATCTCGAGGTAAGTATTATCCATAAAGGTACTTACTGCAACTGCCAAATTTCTTCTTCAGGCGCTGTGCTTTCTGCATCAATCTCCACTGCGCTATCACGGTCGCATCACACCGTTAACGTGCTGGATTGACAAGCACTTCACACTGAAAATAACCAATTACGGATTCGACCGGTTAAGCATTGAGCTGTGCACCAGTTGCGAGAAAATGGAGCCTGTCAGTGACAGTGAACTCACCGAGCCACTGTACTGGCTGACTCAAGAAAAGCCGAATCCCGATGATACCAAAGCCATGCAAGCGCTGGATGTATTTTCATCCGGGTTCATCATCTATGAGATCCTCACCAATGGAGCGTTATTTCACAAGTTTCAAGCATTGACTAAAGGTTACCTTTATGTGCGGTACATGCACAGGCACTAAACAACTGTAATTTACTCTAATGTTTTTTAGACGAACTAAACGAGTTGGTCTCTCGAAATGGCAACCTTTACCACGGCGCAGTTGAATTCACGAATTTTGCCGCTTTCGAAAGTCTGCTGCGGTCATGCTGGATTGCCGATCCACAGCAGCGACCCAGCATGCCGCGTTTGCGGTCGCGCATCGCCGACATCTCGCCGTTACTCACGCTTAGTCGGACGAAATTAATTGATAAGATCTACAAGCGCCTCTCGGATTATTCCGAAGATTTGGAAAATTTGGTAGCAAACAGGACATACAATTTGCAGGAAGAGATGAGCAAGTGTGATGCGATTATTGGTCAATTTTTACCACGGTATGTTTAGAATGGCAAACTTGATCATCGATAATTACAAAGTGCTATGTTTCGCGGCCATTAGACTGTTCTGATCGCATTCGATTATTTCCGTTAATTACAGGTCAATCGTGAAGCAGTTACGTGTGGGTCGTGACGTGATGCCTGAGCTGTTCGACTCAGTGACGGTGATGTTCACGGACCTGTCGGGTTTTGTGGATTTTGTTGAGGCGAACAGTCCGGAAAGTACGATCAGTCTGATCGGAGACACGGAGGCCTGCTTCGACCGGCTGTCAACGCGATGCGATGTGTACAAAGTGGAAGCTGTTGGAGATTCGTATTTGGTTCGTAAGCATGCGCTACATGAGTACAAACGGACAATAATGAGAATATCTAGCTAGTTATGGATTGGTAGGTGGCCAGCGGATTGCCAGAAAGAATTGGTGATAACCACGTTCAGCGGATTGCCTTTTTCGCTTTAAAGCTTATGGAATTCGAGTCGCAGCTGACCTTTCTTAGAGCATTACGGTTTAAGGTTGGATTGCATTCTGGTAGGATTGCAGTGTTTGTAGATTAGCAGTTGTGCTGTAAGTGGAATAAGGGGCTGATTGCCTGATCTATTTGCAGGTCCCTGTGCGGCGGGTGTCCTGGGACTGAGAAGACTACGCTATTGTTTGTAAGCATACTCGCAGTAATGATAACTGGGAAAGCTCGTTGGTCTATGTGCACACCTTCCTTTGCAGGTTTGGGGACACCGTCAATTTAGCCTCGCGAATGTGCAGTCAGGGTCTGCCGGGACGTGTACACGTTAGTTCGGAATCCAAAACCTTACTGGAAAATTTTCCCGAATACAGCGTCGATCGCCGGGGAACACTGGCCATAAAGGGAACATTCGAGATGACCACGTACTGGCTGACTGGATGCAATAGACCATATGATTATTAGAAAAATTTTGCCCTTCTGATGCATAACATTTACACTGAAAATGGAATTAAGTGAACACTAGGGGCATGGTTTGTAACTGCGAGCACGTTATGGACGTCCTGTATCTTTATGGAACCCAGAGGGTTCCTATAACATAATATTTTTAACAATTAAACATGTGTCCTAGCTCATGTGCCTGTGACGATAATTTAAATATACTTATACTGTAAGTAAATTGTAGGATAACCGCTGCCTAAGAAACTCCTTTGTTCGTTTCTAGCAGGCTAGCAGCTATACCGTTTTAATCTTCTTCCCAAGCTTTTGGTTCCGTCACCCCAAGGTACGTAAATACTGCAGGAATTAAATGATATCTTGGTTGCGCGCATCTGTGTTCTGCCAGTTTTCTCCCTGGCCGGTATACGAAACTGCGTGTGTAACTACGCCCGTCACATCCAGGGCTACTGGTTTTGCGGGTTCCCAGGTACAAGTGTGATCGGATTCGGCGTCTTCTGGTCATTCACAGGCAGACCTTTTGGCTAAATTCTTGCCAGGAAAACCGGCCGTCTTTAATTCTTAATTGAACTCCCCGCTGATACCATCGTGTCCGGACAGTCTTCTGGCCGATCGTTTACATGCCCGTGGAGTTTCAGATCATCGACTATCCCCGCCTAATACGCATACGTGAAGTGTAGCGATTGTTTCTCCCAGACGCAACGCAACATTTTTACGGAAGTCGCTGTTTTCTACCAAGTTAGCGAGGCATGATGCGGGCAGAGCATCAGTGCAAGGATGCACAGTGGAAAAAGTTTCGTGCTGGCTGGCGGGCTAAATTTAGCTCTGTCTAGCCAGCAATAGTTCCTTCGTTCTTTTATTTTCAAACTATCGTAAAACAACTTTTTTTGGTACCGAAATGATCCTTAAATTTTCTGTATGTTCTAAGTGTAAGGTTGTGTGAATACAGTTAATACTGCAGCCATGCGGGCCAAAAAATCGTCTCCGCTAGGAACTGTTGTTTATCATCATTTAAATGTTCAACGCCTGAATAATGAGAAAGCCGATGTGCTGCAGCAAATTCTGTCTTGTGACGATAATTTAGTTAAATTTTTTTGTTTAACTGAAACCCATTTGTCCGAGAATGATCCCTCTCAGTTGTATGAAGTTCCAAATTATACGTTAATTAGAAAGGATCGCTCTCCAAACTATCGTAAGCGCAGTGGTGGTGGCATTCTTGTTTACCTTCCCTCCCATATTCCTTATTCCATTGTTGATGTATCCTCGGAAAATGCGGATGTGGAAAGTTTGTGGTTGTCCGTCCGAGTGGGTAAAAAAGAAGTTTTGCTAGGAACAGTTTATCGGGCTCCTGATACCAACGCACACAACACGGAAAGTTTATTTGATCACATCCGTGAAGTTCTCTGTAAGTTTCCTAGCAGTGACTATGTGATTACAGGGGATTTGAATATTAACACCAATGACGCGAGTTCCCCGTTCCATCGCTATTATACTGATCTGTGCAGTGAATTTGATCTCAGTGACATGGTTGTTGGAAATACTCGTATCTCCAGTCGTCGTAAGAAGTCGGAAAATTCGTCCTATTTTACTTGCTCAAAATTGACGTGATGTTGTGCCATCCATCAGCAAATTACAGCAGCAGCCTTGCCAAAGACATCGATATTTCGGACCACCGATTATGCAGAACCGTTGCGAGCTACAAGTGTGTTGTCCCCCGCCACAAGACGATATCGTATCGCCTATGGAAGCATACCACCGAAGCAGATTTTGCAGCAAAGTTGAAATGCTTTTGCCATGCGGGATGAATTTCAGGATGAGAACGTGGATGTGAATACGCAGGTGGAAAATTTTGTTCGTGGCGTCTCCGACTTAATCGATGAATGTTTCCCAGTTCGTACGAAGCGAGTGAAGCAGAGCGAAGCGCCTTGGATAACACAGAGCATTCGTACCGCTATCCGAGGAAAGAACGAAGCATATCAGCGACGATGTGCGGCCAGAAATACAAATGAATATCCCATGTTCCACCGGGAGTTTTGCAGACTGCGGAGCGAGGTGCGATACCTGATCGGAGTGGCAAAGCAACGTTATTTTACTGAAAATCAAAGAAAAACTTCCGTGTTATGGAAAGAAGTGGGAAGAATATTGCGGAAAACAAAAGATCATGTTGATTGCGAAGTTCCGCTTGACACGCTAAACCAGCATTTTGCTGCGATGGGACAGCACGGATTCCCGCATGCCGCACCAGCGCCCCCGTCGGGGCGACGGAATTAACAGTTTGTTTTGTAGGTTCAGCACTGTCAAACCAGACGTGATAATGTCAATACTGCAGCAAATGAAAGAGAAAAAGCATCGGGGCCGCTTGGAATACCAGCTGGTCTACTCGGTGGGATCTCATCAATCCTTGTCCCTCCGTTGACCCATATGGTGAACAAGTCGCTACGCACGGGTGTCTTTCCTTCGGTGTTCAAATGTGCGGACGTTTATCCGCTTCCAAAAGTGCCCAACGCCCGATGTGCGGACGATTTCCGACCGATATCATTGCTATGCAATATATCTAAAGTCTTCGAGCGATGCGTACAGATCCAATTGCTTGACTTCCTGCAGGCGAATAATATTTTGTCACCCAGACAATCAGGCTTTCGGAAAGGCCACTCATGTGAAACGCTGCTAACGAAAGTGACAGATGCGTGGGTACAAGCAATGGATCAGGAGATGTCACCGCGGTTGCATTCCTCGACTTAAAAAAAGCGTTCGATTCGGTCAATCACGAACGGCTGTTGGTCAAGTTAAAAGAAAATGGTATTAGTGGCCAAGCTCTAAACTGGTTTTATTCTTATCTCACCGGCCGCCGGCAGCGCGTGAAAACGCAGAAATACTCTTCCGATTGGCTACCTGTAATTTCCGGCGTTCCGCAAGGCACAGTACTGGGCCCGTTGCTCTTTATCTTGTACATCAACGACTTGCTGCTGCACAGGAATTTCGAGATCGAAGCATTCGCGGATGATACCATTGCTCACTGCCGTGCGAAGACGAAAGCAGCAGCTGCTAAGAAGCTCAATGATGCGCTGGAGACTGCAGCTAAGTGGTTCGAAGAAAACAGACTGGCAGTGAATGTGAAAAGTGCGCGGCTATGTTTATTTGCACCGAACAGAAGTACCGGAAAGAAATCGACCCGCCGGTGACGTTGAACGGTCAGACATTGACTATAAAGCAGCATACAACGTACTTGGGCGTCGAAGTGGACCACAATCTGAAATGGACTAAACAGTATGTGAAAGTGAAGCGAAACATCAACTACGGCATTAAAAGATCAAGCGTGTACAGTCCGGGCTCAGCATCCCCAGCGAGTAATCCCTTCACCACGCTTTTGTCCAGCCATACATAGATTACTGTGCATTGGCCTGGTCAGCAGCGTCTTTGGGAGAGCGGGAGAAGTTGATGAAGCGACAGCACGCCGCCCTACGGACCATCACCGATGATACGGTTCGGGTAACACCGCAACTGTACGAGCAGCTGGGCATAGTTCCAGCAGTCGAGCGATGGCGCCAGAAGGAAGCAGTGTGGCTGTATAAGATCCGAAACCGCGACAGTTTTGACGTGCCAGCATACATGTGTGACCTTGTTCCATTCAAGGTTCAAGGACATTAGCCTGAGGTATGACTTCCGCCGGAAAGAACGTCTGGATATACCTGCGGCAAAGCTACGAATTGGAAAGACAACCCTTGCGATGAGGCTGAAAGATTTGTTTGACAAAGTAGTGGGAAGCGGAAATGAGTTGTTTGGTTGTGGATCTGTTAAGACTTTTCTGTTCTTGTTGAAATCGAAAAATTTCTTGTAGCTCTTAATTTTTTTGTTTTTGTCCAAGTATTGTAGTGACCAGACCAGAAAGTGCCTCGAGGGTTTGTCTGCTCAATGAATAAACTAAACTAAACTAAACTAAAACCTGATCCTTAATCTCATCCGTTTATTTGCTGATTCTGCAGTAGTTCAGGTTACTGATTGTGTAAACATCTACCACCTCGTTAGGAGAATAGCCATAGTGCTTCAGACTGACAATATCGTACCCGAAACCATCGCGGCAGTACTGCAGGCCGTCGCATACACCTTTGTCAACTGCCCGAAACAATGGACATTGACAAGGTTACGTCTGTTGCATTCAATGCGATTTTCCAATTTTGGACGTTTATCCAACAAATTTCCTGTGTCGGCCTCCCGGAATTTTATGGTTTGGATGGCAAATCAGCGCCCCGATTCGGGGTTGCAGCATACACGGTGTACCTGTTTGTATTAACGACCAGTAAAATCGTAATGTTATGTGCACTGGTTACCCCTAAGTGTTCTCCGCTTGACGGGAACTCTGGAGAATCTCGTGGAAGTTGTCTGCTACAATCTAGTGGACATCTTCGCCTTTCTGATCGGGTTTACCATGCTCTACAACTCCAGAACCATCATTACTATTCAGACGCACATTCTCCAGATGGCGCAAGTGTATCAATGCGGTCGCGATGTCGCCACTGTCGTCATCACTGGCATGTTCTCTCTATCCCTCTTCGCGTATATGATCTATCAAGATTTTATTACCTTGTGGTATGCACATAAATCACTGCTGCGCGAGTATCCGAACTTCTTCGCTGTATTCCCTGATTTTCCTCGGACATCCGTTTTGTGGTTGTCGTATGCAGTCCACATAATCTTCCTCATTCTGATTAACGGTTATTACGCGGTTGTTGCGCAGTTTGTTGCGCTAAAGTATTGTTGAAAACCTTTGGTACATATTTATAACAAACGTCAAGGTGGGTAAACTTGACCGACCCGTTAAATTCTCACATAGTTATTTCGTCAGTACTACTGTCAGCTGTAACTTGTAAGTAGCCTGTAACTTCCTACCAGTTTTAATGCAGTTGTCAGCCGCTGACAGACAAAAATATCGATAATTTTCATTAGCTGGTCTGTAGAAACAGTTGAAATGTGTGAAAAGCACTGACGAGAAAAGCATGATAAGTACCTATTATAAAATCGTAAAACCATATAGATCCCTAGTACAACCCTAGTACAGCACTTCCACGGTGGTGATAGTTTAAATGCAAAGGTACATCAATGCCACAACACCAAACAGTAGGTCTACTATGTTAGCTACTATTTCGGCAATTTTCTATTACGGACATTTGATCCTTTCGCTCATTTGTTGGCTTGCTGACTGAGCAAGAATTCAGACTCAGCTTACTGGCTGGTTTAAACATCCCATTCACGATGCAAAGTCTTTCGAAAATGTTTGCGGTGGGCGCCTAACTGACGGCTGCAGGACGCCGCGCTATGCCAGATGTGTGGGACCATGGCTCTCGTCGAAGTCACTTCTAGGTTACTTAATCTACTCTTCCGATTGTGGACCACTCTGCTGCAGACTTGTGGTCTGGAGATCCCGGATTTTTCGGGATCACGGAACAGGCATTTGTCGAGATTCTGGACTATATTCTGGATTCTGGCGTATATGTTGTATGCGGTGGTTTTGACAATTAGTAAAATCCTAATGATCTGCACACTAACCGTCCCCTCGATCGTTCTCGGCTTAACGGGAACCCTGGAGAACCTCGTGGACGTTCTCTGCTACCGTCAAGTAGACATTTTCTCCCTGCTAATTACGGTTTCCATTCTGTATCACTCCAGAATCCTTACCGCGATCCGGATGCGCATTCGCCAGAGGGCGCTAGTGTATCAGTGCGGCGGCAGGGTGCCGGCCGTTTTGTTGACCGGCATGTTCTCGCTATCGCTCCTGGGATATATGCTTCACTTTAATTTTACAGGAATCAGGACGGCGCGAAAAAATTTGCTACGCGATTACCCGACGTTTTACGCTGTATTCCCGAATTTCCCGCGAAAATCCGTTGTGTGGTTATCGTATGCGGCCACCATACTCTTTCTTATTCTTAGTAACGGTTATTACGCGGCCATTGCGCAGTTTGTACATCTGCATCGTCGCCGGGTTCGGGTTTTCGGCAATGCGCAGAAATCTGAATGCGCTGTTAACAACGGGGAAAGGCGATAAAGCAGCCGTGGAAGCCGTGCTAATCGATCATGCGGCTCTCGGTCGCGACATACAGAAACTGGACCGCCGTATGGCGGTGTTCTGCTTCTGTCTGTACGCGCAAATTATCATGCTGTACATGTGGGTTATCAGCAGCGTGCAGAATCTGCATACGTACTCGGCCCAAGGTATGTTGCCGTCGCTGATATTCGAGACATTCCTGGTGGTCGCCGTTACCGCCGCGGCAATCTTTGTCGCCGAACAGGTAATATGCATTATGCGGCACCTGAAAACCTTGCGAACTGAAAATCATTCATTCGTAAAATATTAACTTCAACCGCATTTATTATTCACCGTTTTAATTTGCTGATAAAAACATTCACAACGACCTCTTGCACTGAAAAGCAATCGATAAAAATAATCCAGCGATCAAGAATATTTGAATGCTAAAACTGCAACAAAGAAAGTTGCTTCGGTTAGAACATTTGCTGGAACGTATCTGGAGATCAATAACGATTCATTTGTATAACGATCAGTAATTCTAATTTACTGAGAACTAACGCGCTATGCGTAGTTGCGCGTATTACGTACGTGTTATGACGTACGTGTTGTCTGTTCCGTTACGTATGACTTGCTGTTCTATCTAACGCATTTGATCGCTAATTCGATCCACGATTCTGGTTAATGAATCAGTCTGAAGTTTCTAACTTCAACTAAATCTGTGAGCTTGTTTCTAGCTAAAAGGTCGTGTGACTCTAGGTTAGCAGGAAGTTCATATCTCGTTCTGATCTGTTCTGTTTATTACTTCGTTCGGTTTGGTGATTAAACATTTGGGAAGTTCCTGAGTGTTTTGGTTTCGGTAACTTTCGTTAGGCAGCAGTCCGCTCGTACCTAGCGGAAGTAGGCAGTACCACTTACGGAGTCCAGAGCATACCCCACTCTGCCGATTGAGGTAGGTTTGTCATCTAGTGCGGTTGTCGCGGTGCGACTTCCGCATAGCATGAAAGAACAAAGTAGGGAAAAAGCATTAAATTTGATGAGCATTGATTGGGCCCATTGAGTATTGATTGTCGAGTTAAGAAATTCAAGAAAATTCCTTATTGATAGATAACATTATTTTTGACAGTAATACTGGATGAACTGATTCGCTGTGCCCTCTTTCTTCAGGCGGACATTTCCAGAGAACTGCAGACACTGGTCGATACGGAAGAAGACGACACCAGTAAACACGATTCATTTATTCGGCTGTACGAAATCACCAGTCAGCCCACGGTCTTCAGTGTCGCCAATATGATCCCCATTGACCGGATATTTGTGGCCAGCGTGAGTCAGAACTGCAGTGCTTCACGAATTGTGTCAGAAGTTTTACCAAAGTTTGCCAAATTTAAACGACTGAGCGCTGCATGAGGACCACATTATTTTAGATGTTGATTACCGCCACTGTTTTATATACAGTATGTTATTGTTATTATTGTTTGCTTGCTTATGTTTCCTGTTTCTTTTCTCATGAAAAAACAGAATCCAACCAAAAGCAACCTCGTCACCAGCCTCATCTGGTGCATGTTTCATGGTTTAAGGGAAATGGCCCGGTACATGGTGTCAAAATGGGATACATACATCAAAACTTTGCTTTCGCGCACTCCGAAACACTTTTTTGTAATACTTTATGTCATTTTAAAGCTAAATGATTTGTGTACATTTTTTTTTAAAAATCGTTTGCGTGCGCAACATCCGGTTGCCGAGATCTGCCGAACTAAAATGGTCGAAAAGTTTAAATGCATTGTTGTGTACCAAAAGTCTGGTTTTTACCCGATCTTCTTGAAACTTTGCTGTAAAAGACACATGGCTATGAAGTTCAAAGTGAACCAATTTCAGGTTCACAGCATTTTTTTTCCGATTTTTAAATGGATTTCAAAAATTTTAAAATTTATTTTAAAATTATGGAAAAATGCTATGAACCTGAAACTGGTCCACTTTCGATTTAATGGCCATGTGTCTTTTATTGAAAACTTTCAAGATGATCGGGCAATAACCAGACTTTTGGTACACAACAATGCATTTAAACTTTTTGACCATTTTAGATCGGCATATCTCGGCAACCGGATGTTGCGCGCGCAAACTTTTTTTCAGAACAATGTATACAAATCATTTAGCTTTAGAATGACATAAAGTATTACCAAAAAGTGTTTCGGAGTGCGCAAAAGCGAAAGCTTTAGTGTTTGTATCCAATTTTTGACGCTATGTGCCGGGCCATTTCCCTTAAAATCCACGTAAATGTTTGAAAACCCTGAGTGCCCGTGTTCGGGAGAAATACACAGAAACTGTATTTCTCCCGACACCGTCAAAACATCATCATTAAGACGCTTCTTATCCTTAGATGATCGGACTGTTCATCAGTTATGGGGTTTTGGTCACCGAGCTCGGAGACAACAATACCGGCGGCGGCAGCAGCTTGGAAGACGCAATGAAACTGGAAATCTCCAAACTGAACTGCTCTTATTGCGCTGGGCACTGTCAACTGTAGTAGTTCGGCCATTCTTTATTCATAAATCATACATAATGAAGTTGGAAATCATAGACAACTGATGTAAACAGCATTGCCAAGAGATAAGCGTGGCGCTTTGCACGAGCTGACTGAAGGCCTTAATCAACTGGCTTTTTGATCTTCTCCTCTGGCTTTTGGTATACAATATTGTATAAGAAGAAACCATAAAAAAAGTCTATAATGTGGCTGCCAATATTGCCGACATTTTTTGGTATCGTATTCGGCTCTTTATCACAGCTTTTTTTGTTAGCGAACAAAACTCATTTGTCGTAAATAAACGATTGTTGTGTTACCAGGAATCACAGAAAAGATTGTTCACCAGCATGGATGCAAAATGTATAAAAATATGCATAAAAATTGAGGAAACTTCATGCTTTCCGTTTTTCTGAGGAGATGTTTAGTTTATCGCGTAGTCTTACTCACATTTATTTGCAATGATGGTGAGCAAGACATCATTCTTGTGTTAAGCCCTTAAATCGGTCTCTGCAATGCCCATTCCCATCGGTTCCATTATCGAGATTGCCGTTCTCCTGAGGGAATTACTGTATGAGCCTACTTCATCTCCGATAGTGATCAACGACCCCAACTTCACACAGGGAAATTCCAGCCGAGTTATCTGCATATCATCGACACTATAATTCCATTTGGCATGTCCGTATCGAATAGATAACAATACAAGCTTAAAGAGTTGGCCTACGTTATAAATCATGGAAGGTTCCTATGTCTCTGCTCGTACAGCATCCCGGATCATTATGGGGGTTTTTTGCTTCTGGATGGTCTACCACAAAATCGGCGGTCTGGACACCATCCGGCGGTCTGGACTGGAATATTTTCTACCATCCGAATCCACTCCGCTCCACTCCGAAAAACTTTAATAAATTTATTCACTAAACTCGGGAAAGTCTTCTGCAACACCAGCCGACGCATTAGCGTAGTAACTCTTTAAGAAAAGCAAATCATCAACTTTTTCCGGCTTAAGACTATTACGACGATCGTCTATAACGAACCGAGCTAAACTAAACGTTCGTTCACATGCAGTACTTGTCGCCGGTACAGCAAGAATCTGCTTGGCCAGTTTCGACATTCTGGGCAGTTCGGTCTCTTTGTTCTTCCAAAACTCAGGTATCCATCTTTCATCGTCGTCAGCTGAACTTGGTGGCACGGATGTCTTTAAGTATAATCCAATTTCATCGTCTTCTTGATCAGGTACTAAATCATCTTCGAAGTCAGCAAACGTGCTTGCTCTACTTGTAGTCGGCTTTCTAGAATGCAAGCTGCTTAAACCAGAACCCATCACAGGCAGCAACGCTTTCACGCGTGCATGTACGGCTCTTTTTTCCGCTTCAGTTAGCATTTTCAACGTGCGCATTCGAGGATTCAGAAAAGCCGCAATCTGATGAATGTCCACGATCACAAATTTTTCTCGTAGGTAACGCAACATCATCTTTCGCAAGGCCGAAATTGCTGGCGCTTCGTCATCATTAGCAGCTGCCATATAAAAGCCTTCCAGCTTTTTTCGCCAAGGGAGCACCAAATGCAAGTGGGAAATTTGCTCGCTGACAGTTCTGCAGTCGCTTGTTTGGCCGGTCTTAAAAGCTCAACTAACTGCTCTAAAAATTCACGCGGTTCTGGCAGCATTTCATCCTCCTTTCGCTCGGCCAACAAAACCTGCAAAATTATACAATCGTTAGACAGTCACAGTGCATCCTGGCGGACATACGACACTGTAAGCATACTGTGATTAGAAAAACGACTGTACGAGTACGCAGTCGTCAAGGATAAAGTTTTGTTACGTATTTGTATTCATGAACCACGACATCGTTGTTAAGATTAAGTACCTACAGTACTCGTGTTCATTACTAAAAATCGCTCGTAGTTGTTTTATTTAGTGGTAGCAGATTACAATTATAAATCGTTGCGCAAGTTGGGTTGTCTTGTGGTTAAGAAAACATTTTCTTACCTGAATCTCGTCGTACATAGAAAGCAAGGAGTCCAGCATGTCAATCACAGTGTTCCAACGTGTATCAACCTCCTGTTTCACTTTACGGGGCAACATGTGTTGCAGTGTAGTGGCTTTGATGGGTCGCACAAGAGCTTTGGACGTTTGCAGAACTTCGTTGACCATCTGGTGCTCTTCCGGCATATTTTTCACAGCGTTCTTGGATACCCGATTGAGCAAGTGTCCAGCGCATAGTACCTTTGAAAGGGTAGGGTAGTTTGCCAGTTTAAGTGCAGCGACCATGTTCGCCCCAGCGTCGATGACAAACGTCACTTCACTGCAGTCGCTTTCTTTAAGGCCTAGTAGAGCAAGCTTCTCCGATAAAAACTTTCTCACATTTATGGCAGTCTTTCGGACCGACGGATTGTGATGTCTCCAAGTACGGGCTAATACTTTAATAAGTATTACCGTTTTACGACTAGTACAAGATAACAACTAAATGAGAAGTACAACATCTAAAGACACAGCAACGGAAATAACGCACAGTTGCTAAGTCATCGTTTGTATCGTGACTTTCACGATATGCCAATAATCTCGTGATATGCAAATATACCACAATCGTCCCCAACTTCTAAAAGAAGTTACTACGTCAGAATATCACAGAATATCATACGGTTCTCGAGTATTATCCTCATAAGTACTGAAAACCGCATTAGTCTGCTTCTGTCGACATTTGCGTTGGATGTGTCCTTTCTGACCACATCGATTGCAAATACTGTTTCTGTGGAAGCCGTCATCCGTGGAATGCTTTTCTGATTAGCAGCGTTCACAGGGATCCGCCCTTCCTCTGTTTCTTCCTTTTGTCACCTTCAAAACTTCGGCGCCTTCACCTTTTGCTTCTTCTAGTCCAGTCTCATGTTTGATGGCACTCTCCAGTGCTTCTTCGAAGGTCAACAGATCCTTCGACATTAAATGGCGACGCGTCGACTCCTTCGCAGCTCCCGCCACGAAAACGGCCAGCAACATCTCGTCCAGGATTGTTGCAGGAAATGCACACGAAATCGTCTTGTCTCTGAGACGATTCGCATATTCCACCAATGTTTCCCCATCCTTTTGCTTCGTGTGGAAAAACTGTGCCCTTTCCGTATGTCTGAAGGTGAACTTCGTGTAGGCTGTATCCAGCCTTTTCAGCAGGTCATCCACCTTATAGATGCGGGGATCCTGAGGCACACAGAGGGAAACCAGGGTCTCAAATGGACGGGTTTCCAAACTTTCCAGTAGCAGAAGGCCATGCTTGGAGTCCGGTAACTCCGTCAACTGCAGGAAGTTCTTGAATCGGATCTTCCACGCCAACCAATTCATGGTCGCAGGGTCAAACTTTGTCATTACAAACGCGTTCGTACTCTTGGTAGCCATCTCACCAACACGAGAATGCTTCACGTACACCAGTAGCTACTGTTCAAATCCTATCACGCCAATTGTGATGTCTCCAAGTACGGGCTAATACTTTAATAAGTATTACCGTTTTACGACTAGTACAAGATAACAACTAAATGAGAAGTACAACATCCAAAGACACAGCAACGGAAATAACGCACAGTTGCTAAGTCATCGTTTGTATCGTGACTTTCACGATATGCCAATAATCTCGTGATATGCAAATATTCCACACGGATCATAGCACGAAACGAAAACAACATATTCCATTAGGTTCCAATCGGAGATATAGTGTACTGTCATTCCCATATAATGAACGCTGTTGCAGGGATCCGTCCAAAAATCAAAAGACACGGCTCCACCATCAGTGCGCAGAATTTCAGCTATTTTTGGAAATAAGGTTGCTCTCAACTTTTTTGCAGTGCTCTCTACATTTCGGCTCACAGTCGTTGGAAGTGGCAAAAGTTCGGCTGCAGAAATCTTTCCGTACTGGTCGCCGATGTCAATGGCTGTTTGAATAAGTCGAATAAACCCGTTCCCTAAGACTCAGAGGCTAAAATATCCAAATTCTATCACTACACACTCCCCCTTGGCGCCCCTGGGGGGTGCTCCTGGGGGGAGTGACTGCAATAAATTTTAACAAAAGCAATAAAAATCTTTCCATTTTTTTTAAGAAAAGGCAAAACCAGCGCACGCATGATGCGAATTAAGTGTTAAAAATTAAAGCGAATGTCCACTTCCGCGCGAAGCGCGAAACCGGAGATTATTTTTACTGCGGAAATTGCGGAAGTTTTGATTAAAAATAGCAAATTAGTGCGTTTATCACCAAATTATTCGAGCTGACGAAAGTTTAAGGTCGAAATAAAATGTTAAGATCGAAGTAGAATTGAGAGATAAGGCGGGTTTCGCGCGAAGCGCGAAGCCGACGCACGTTTTTCTTGTGAGAATTGCTGGAAATTCTATAAAAAATAGTAGAATTATTATTTTTTTATTTCCAAGAGACCCCCCTCTAATTTTTTTAACGGTTTGGAACTTTTTTAATCTTACACACTTGGACAACTAAAACTACACACTACACGTTTATCAGTACACGAAATGTGTATCACTACACACTATTTTAGCCTATGGTTCCCTTTCACAGACTCAAACGACCGCATGTCCTGCAAAAAATACATGAAAACTTGTCAGTGATTGCATCATTAATTGGCCATGATAAAATGGTCGTTAAGTATACAGAAATCAATAAAATATAAAATTCTTAGTGTGAATAAATTTAAAAATAATTTAGGTTTGTACAAAGCGCAAAATTAAATTAAAAATAAAATTTTGGACCATTTGCGCTTGCATTTCTTACCTCTGCAACAAAACGAACGCAGCTTTCCGTGACCATTGTCTTCGCAGTAACAGAAACAACTGGAGGTTTTCCACTTTGAACGAAGGAAGTGATTTTTGGTTGGCTCTTCACAGCAACTGGCCTGCAGGAGTCCTTGATGTGGCTGGATAAATGGGAAGTGCCGTTTCGCGAGATGTGCTTGAAAACCTCTTTGCACGAGACACGATACATGTAGGGTAAAATATCGCCTGATCCAACTTCATGGATTTC